GATTTGCACACCGTTCAAAACCATCCGAAACGAGCTCTCTGGCTTCGAAGCCCAACATCTTCAATCATGGACATCCACCGTTGTCGTTTCGTTTCTTATAACCCACAGGCGATCAATGCACTTGCATTCTCGCATCCCCCATCAGCAGATCTAGCTGGACGTGGCGTACCCACCCTCCGACTCGCGATCGGTCGAGCGAACGGTGATATTGAAATATGGAACCCGATGCGCGGTGCCTGGTTCCAGGAGACTGTGATGCGTGGAGGCAAGGATAGAAGCATTGAAGGACTTGTATGGACTTTGGATCCCCAAGAGGATGGGCCCGATGGGACCAAGTTACCAGGAAAGCTGCGCCTGTTCAGCATTGGATACTCTACGGCCGTCACCGAATGGGATCTTGAGAATGGCCGCCCACTGCGCCACTCCAGTGGAAACTATGGAGAGATCTGGTGTCTTGCTGCGCAGCCTCGCTGGCAGGCGACCAAGGGCAAGGATGGAAAGGTGCTTCCTCCCGCCGAGGGCGAGCACACGGGTCAGCACCTCGCCGCAGGATGTGCGGATGGGTCAATTGTCATCTTGTCCACCGCCGACAACGAGCTCAAATTCCTCCGCCTGATGCGTCCTTCAACGAAAAGAGCACGCGTCCTGAGCGTTACCTTCCAGAACCGCAACACTATCGTCGCGGGTTATGCTGACAGTTCTATCCGTCTCTTTGATATCCGCACTGGTCAGATGCTGCGCACAATCTCTCTTGGCAAAGGTCCCACTGGTGGCCCGAAGGAATTGTTGGTTTGGTCTGTGAAATGTCTGCCAGATGGCACGATCGTTTCTGGTGACTCGGCTGGTGAAATTCGGTTCTGGGATGCGAAGAACTATTCTCTCGTTCAACGGATACAGGGCCATCTCGCGGATACTCTTGATATCGCAGTGAGTGCCAATGGAGACACTGTTGTCAGTGGCGGTGCGGACCAGAGGACTGTCGTTTACCGCAAGAAGGAGGGCGAGAAGGGCGACAAGAAGGGTCGCTGGGCTGAGATCATGCATCGTCGCTACCACACCCACGACGTCAAGACATTCGCTGTCTACGAGACTAAGGATATCAGTATCGCTGTGTCTGGAGGTTTGTCACCTCGACCCACTTTGGATTTGAGGTGTTGTATAGCAATGCTAACATATTTTGTTCAAAGGTCCCGATGCGACACCGGTCGTCCTTCCTCTTCGCGAATTTGGAAAAGAACACCACCGCAAGCTTTCGAGTCTCCCGCAGATTCCCCAGCTCACCTCCGCACCGTCCTCTCGTTTGGTTATGAGTTTCTGGGACAGAGAAGTGAGCTTGTGGCGTGTGTCTCGAGGCCCTGCGTCTTTGCATGATAATATCGATGGCCAACGGCATAGGCTAGTTGGTAAGGTTCTGATCCAGGGCGAGGAAAACATCTCATCGGCGATGCTGTCCTCAGATGGCAAGACGCTCGCTGTTGCAACCATTTCTGAGGTCAAGCTCTTTTCTCTTCGCCGCCGAAAGGGTGATGAGAAGGGTGCTCTGCGAATCCAGAAGATTGACGTACCCAAGGTGCTCTCCGATGAAGGTGCTCGCCTTGTGACCATTTCCCCCGACGGCCGATGGCTTTCAATTGTTCGCCCCAACAGCGACATCTACATGGCTAGAATCCAGCCAGCCTCAGTATCTAATGAGAAGCCTCAAGTGGTGCCGCAGTTTGCAAAGCTTAAGAGAGCCACCCGTCATGTACGGCATGAAAAGGCATCCCACGGAACACTGGGTGACTACGAAAGGACGATACGATCTGTGGTGTTTTCAGACGATAGCAAGGTTTTGGCGAGTGGCGACATATCTGGTTGTGTCGACACCTGGGTACTGGGCACAGCGACAGGACCCGCGAACGGTGCGATCAAACGTAGCGGAACATCTGAGTCCGACGATGATTCATCCGATGATGAGGACGAGGACGTTGTGATCGAAGGCGAGCGCTGGACTACCGCTGCCACTGAATCACCAATTCCTCGTATGAAATCCGGCATCACTTTGTTGTCCTTCCGTCCCAAGTCTGCCCCCACACAAAAGCTTCTGGTCAATGCCACGCACCAGTCTGGTGAATATCGGCTGATGGTACTCACAAGTGAGCATCAACTCATCGAATTTGATGCTCGGAATGGTAAATTGTCCGACTGGTCTAGACGCAATCCCAAGGCATACCTCCCTGCAGAGTTCCGAGGCGTTAAGGATCGAGCTATGGGCTGCGTGTGGGACCTCTTTGAGGGCCGCGAGCGCCTTTGGCTTTACGGAGCTTCATGGTTGTGGATGTTTGATCTGCTTCAAGACTTCCCCTCCCCTGAGGAGGCTGAAGCTGGATCTGAAGAGGGCAAGTCCGCGGTTCAGCTTGCCAAGGCATCGAAGCGCAAGCGCGAAGCCCTCGACGACGACGAAGTCGAGCGGAGGAAACACAACACCGGTGCCGGTGATCGAATCCCTCATTCACAGATGGATGTCCACTTTGGCACCAAGGTCCGCAAGATCATCGGCAGCGATGAATCGCAGGGAGAATGGATCTCGCTGGACAAGGAACGTCCCCGTGTTGCAGGTGAAGATGACGAGGCCTACGAGTATGACGAGACTTTTGCAGCCAACAATGAGACAACCCTCGCCTGTCTACGACGGGGAGATGGAAATGCGGTCGAAGTTGAAACTCCACAGAAGGGATCACGAAAGAGCGCTGGCGATACCCCGAAAACGCAGCTGGTGGAGGTCAACGGTACCTCGGCTCAGCCTACACGCCGGTGGTGGCACACCTACAAATACCGTGATATCCTCGGCATCGTACCTCTCAACCCCTTGTCGGATGACGGTTCCGACGATCAGAGCCCGAGTGGGATGCTGGAAGTCGCAGTGGTGGAGCGACCTATGTGGGACGTTGAACTCCCCGGTCGTTACGTGAAGGACTACGAGTGAAGGAGAGGGATGTGAAGGGGCTTTCTGTATAAAAAAAAAATTAGAATGCAGCTGATCCAGACATGTAATTTGGTCATTGGGGCACATTTGGAGGAGCGCATGTTACCGGCGCCTTATGTACAGGGATTCTGAATTGATGATTTACCCAAAACAAGTTGCCCATACCTAGTGGACTTTCGTAATTCTCCGATCTAGACATGTCAACAGGTCAACGGAAGTACAAACTCGTGACTAACGAAGCTCGGAACTTCGAAGGTTTGAGACGGCGATCCAGAACCAGCGCGGGGCCTTGGGCAGAGTGACTTGAGCCCCCGACTCCCTTGACTTTTGAAAACCTCTGTACACCCTGAGATCTTTCTGAAAAGGCCTTGACCCCGCTGCCCTGTTGTCTCCGAGAATCCCGAACTTCCTTCCGATCCGCTTTTGTCGACTTATCGCCCACACGTCAGCTCCAGGGCTGTGAAGTCCACCGACAACATCCTCCTCCTTCCCTAGACCCTCTGCAATGGCCAGGGACACTTTGTCATAAATCGAGAAACCTGTCAGAACCTCAAGTCTCAAAAATTTCATTAAGAAGGTCTACAGCAGGGCTACAGCATAGGTCCTCCTACGTCGAAAGCCAGGGCGGGGCCAACTGCTCCATATCGAAGGAAGCAGACAAGCACTCTGCCCCTTTTCAATAACCGGACCGCATATGCCCTCTAGATTCACGTGTCAGCTTCTCAGCTACTTCGAACTCACCTTTCAGGACTTCGGCTGCCATCTCAGATCTCCACAAAAACGCATCCTACACTTTGTCCAACTATAACCGCATAACTACAGCCACCATGGGCCTATCATACAACGTTTACCTGACTGCCAACAAGATCTTTGGTTGCAAGGGATGTAAGACTCATCTGGCAGACTTTAATGATATCATGAGTCGGGTACGGGAATCCATCCAATTCGATTCCTCCTACACACTTCTTGCCTGAAATAGCCTGTTGCTGACCCATGACTTTCGACTCCCTAGAACTTCCGAGGCCAGCACGGGAAAGCATACCTCTTCAATAAAGTCGTCAACGTCACGCAAGGCGAACCTGTAGAGCGCAGCATGACGACAGGTCGACATGTCGTGCGCGACATCGCCTGCAGACAATGCAAGGAAACGGTAGGATGGAAGTACGACAAGGCATTTGAGAACAGTGAGAAATACAAGGAGGGCAAATTCATCCTCGAGGAGGAACTATTCTGTGTCGTTTGTTAGTTGGAAGGGAGACTTCCCTCCACTCGTGCGATGGCCCTCATGTGTGTTGATCTTGATCTTCGATTTGTGCACATGATAGGCCGGCTTTCGGTTTTATTATAAGAGTGGGATTGCATTTTCAGACTGATTCCTGCTTGTTTCGTTTTCTCTTCCTCGGCTTTGGTGTTTACGAAAGGCGTTACAAAGGAGTATATCCTTTTCTTTGTTCGGTTTCTTTGGGCCCGATGAAACCGGAACTAGCTATGCATTTGCAGGGCAGGACTTGGGTTCCAGTCAGCTTTTTGTGATGCGTTTTTTTGGAATGTCGTTTGACGATTCATCTCTCTTCCGCGTAGCATCCATCTTCCAAAAGAGTTGATGGTTTGCTCGGAGTAGTGTCTAAAACTTCCTGGCAGCTATTCTGTCTATATCCACAAACCCATACAGCAGATAGAACTAAACCTTACTGGCAACGCAGCCATCTCCATTGATATCTTATTTACATCTTATTTCCGGCGCTTTCAGTGGAGATCAACCACTCTAGGTGGGCATAGTGTACCAGCCCCACCAGGTGATTCGCACAGAAGTCCGAAACTGGAGAAATTAGTCAATCTATTTCTTCTTGGCCTGTTCAGATCCGTCTGCAATCAGATCATTCGATATTGAAGAAATTTGGCTTGAGATATCTACTTTCGTTGCACGGAGTAGCAAAGACCAACTCCGACTTCCCCCACCAAACCCTCGAAGTAGGTATCATACTTCAACTGCCGGATTTCTCTGTGAAAATATTGAAAACTGACCATCGTCAGGATGACTTCTACTCCCTCGGATTCTGCTATGATGCAGGCAGTCGTGTTTCATGGCCCCTACAAGGTTGCTATTGAGCAGAGGCCTATTCCCAAAGTGCAGAACCCGGAGGATATTGTAGTCAAGGTGGGATATACTGCGCTATGTGGAAGGTGGGATTGTTCTATACACTTTTTACGAAAAGACCATCAGTGCTAATTACTGAATTTTTTTTTTAATAGTGAGTTGCACATGTTCCGTGGTGTGGAGCCTGCAGGAACAGGATTCATCATGGGCCATGAGTTTGTGGGTGAGGTCGTTGAGATGGGCAGTGCCGTCCGGACTCTCCAAAGGGGTGACCGAGTCGTCACTGCATTTACTACTTCTTGGTAAGTGGCATGCTCATTAGATTCCCTGTTTGCAATGAAACTGTACGGGCGTTGCGCTGACATCATATCATGATAGCGGCGAATGCTTCTACTGCAAGCAAGGGTGGTCTTCTCGGTGTGAAAAGAACAGTCTTTTTGGATGTGACAGCTTAGATGGTGGACAGGCTGAATATGTGGGGTTTCTCAGGATACCATGGCTTTTGCTCTACATGCTGAGATAAGACTACACAGGCCCGAATCCCGAATGCTGACGGTTCCGTCATGAAGGCCCCCCAGGGCGTTGACGAGAAGTATCTGGTGCTCATGGGAGACATCTTCCCCACAGGCTGGTTTGCAGCCAACAATGCATTCAAGAATTCGACCCCCGAACAGATTGCTGAACAAACAGTCGTTCTGATTGGATGTGGACCTGTCGGTCTCTGTGCGCTCATCAATGCTCTGGAGTACAAGCCCAAGCATATCTTGGCGGTTGACTCGGTCCCGTCGAGACTGGAGCTTGCCAAGTCGCTCGGTGCTGAGCCGTGGAATTTCCAGTTGGACCGGGCTGGTCTAGACAAGCGTGTTCAGGAGCTGACAAATGGACGTGGTGCCGATGCTGTCATCGAAGTTGTCGGGTTGAGTCCTGCCTTGCGTACTGGCTTCGAACTTCTGCGGCCTTGGGGAACTCTTAGCAGTGTTGGTGTCCACAATGGAGAGGTAATTCGATCAGAATTTTTTTGGGGGGGTTTTGGTTGTGTCGCTAATGAGGTACTTAGATTCCTTGGGACGGCAATGATGCCTATTCCAAAAACCTCACTGTCCAGATGGGGCGATGCCCTGTTCGGTCCGTTGCTCCTCGGGCTTTGGAGGTGCTCAAGAGAAACCAACATAAGCTTGGGTAAGTGTGTGGTTAGTGTATACACAACTGAGATGTGAGTGCTAACCAGTAAATAGCTTCATGACGGAGAAGATCATGCCGCTTTCGCAGGCCGTGGAGGGCTATGACCTATTTCATAAGATGCAGGTCCAAAAGGTGATATTCCAGGCTTCTCAGTAGGGAAGATGTATATTACCAAGTAAATAATAAATGTGTACGGAGTAGAAGAGTAGAAATAAGAAAATACATCCATCCCATGTCTCTTCCCCCCCCCCCCCAAAAAAAACGAGGCAGATTTTCATACTCGGCTTCTCCGCTTAAAAGCAAAACATCTCTGCCCTCACCACCACTTGAACTTCACTCTTTCACCATCTCCCGTCTCTCCTCACCTTCTTCCCTGTCTTCCTCTCCTCCTTCTCCTCTTCCCTTTCTCTCATCAGGTGCTTTTCCTATTTTATCTTTCTTCCTACCCCCTCTCTTAATCCGAGATTCTGCCGTTTTCCCCTCCCATCCATTTCTCCACTTCCTATCTCCCTCTTCTGTGAGTCCTCACTTTTTCCAGCTTGGATCCTATTTCACAAGTTGCCTTACTGGAGAATTTGCGCATAGTTGCGTGTCTTGTGCGCATTTCTTTCTGCCCAAAATATAAAACTGACCTTTGCCACTGTTTGAGTGTGAAGTCTCTACCGTCCGCATCTCGCGACCGTACGGCCTTAAAAGAAACCTTCTCTTCCGCCACTCACTTGACCCTTACAAACCGCTGAACCGTTTCTCCAACTTCCATCGATTACGGACAAAAATGGATTCTACCGAGATTCAGCAAACCACCGTTGTGGACGAGCCCATGACCGACAACTTCAACGACAACCTCGCCGACCAGGGTGACCTTGAGGCCCCCCTCAAAACTGAGGAGGATTATGCTGTCGCTGAGTTGACTCTGCGTGCTATTGTTTCCTCTAAGGAAGCCGGTGTGATCATCGGCAAGGCTGGCAAGAACGTTGCCGATCTCCGCGATGAGACCGGTGTCAAGGCCGGTGTGAGCAAGGTAGTTCCCGGTGTCCATGACCGTGTCCTGACTGTCACCGGTCAATTGCGCTCTCTTGCTCGCGCCTATGCGATCGTGGCAAAGGGTCTTTTGGAGGGTGCCCCGCAGATGGGCATGGGCGGCATTGTCTCTAACAATGGGACCCACCGTAAGTGATATCCATTTTTTTTTTGGTCGCCCTCGAATTTTGATTGGGGCTCGTTCTGCTGTATGGGAAATTGAATGAACCTATATCGAGAGTTTGAAAATTCTCATTCTGATTTGAGCTTGTTCTAACTTTCTCCAGCCATTCGCCTTCTGATCTCCCACAACCAGATGGGTACCATCATTGGACGACAGGGTCTGAAGATCAAGCACATTCAGGATGCATCGGGTGTTCGGATGGTTGCGCAGAAGGAAATGCTCCCCCAATCCACAGAGCGCATTGTCGAGGTCCAGGGTACCCCTGAGGGCATCGAGAAGGCCATCTGGGAAATCGGCAAGTGTCTGCTTGACGACTGGCAACGTGGCACCGGTACTGTTCTTTACAACCCCGCCGTGCGCGCTTCTCTCAGCGGCTCGCAGCCGCTCAACAGCAACCCCCCGGCTGGAAATGGTTACCAGAACAACGCCAACAGCCGCCAGTACAACCGCACCGGCAACGGCGCCGACTTCAGCGACGGCAGCTATAACCGCCGGTCCAACTCCGACGCTGGAAACCGCGGCTACCCCCAGGTTACAGAAGATGGCGAAGAGATCCAGACCCAGAACATCAGCATCCCTGCGGACATGGTTGGATGCATCATTGGCCGTGGTGGAACCAAGATCACAGAGATTCGCCGAAGTTCTGGCGCTCGGATTTCGATCGCCAAGGCTCCTCATGATGAGACCGGCGAGCGCATGTTCACCATCATGGGAAGTGCTCAGGCTAACGAAAAGGCCCTGTACCTTCTCTATGAGAACCTGGAAGCCGAGAAGACTCGCCGCAGCCAGCTTCCCCAGGAGTAAACTCCGGGGGATGATCCCTGGTATGTGTATGTGTGTGCGGATGAGACGGTCCTAGCAGGACTCCTTTGTGTTCTCTGACCTTACGACTTCCTTGGAGACTTGTCGGTCACGATCAGCGGCGGTCATGTGCTAGCGCTTCTTTAATTTCCTTTCTATTCCTCTATTTCGTTCCAAATGCTTTAGGTCTTCTTTCTCTCTTGATCTTCTTACTCGGCTCTTTTTCTGAGGTTCTAGCCTCACCACGCGTCGCTCTTATTCACACACACACACCAAAAAAAAGGCAAAAGTTCACTGCGATGCACGGAGGGTACACATGCGTATTAGATACCAAGTCTGTGTGGTCTTCATTGACCAATTGTGCGTTGAATTGAATCGCAATTCGAATGACCCTCAATCCTAACCCTCAACTTTGTCAATCACAAACATCCTCACACCTCCATTCCCTCCCTCGCTTCCCCACATCCAGCTGACCTTTCACCGTGATGTTCCTAATCCGTCTTTATCCCGATTCCTGAACCACAGACCTCTCCGCTCACCATCCCAGTCTCTACCTCCTCCTTGTCCTTGTCATCGTTCCACCTTGTGCGCCACCCGTCCGTAGCTTACGGCGTATATTGATCCTTGTCTTTCCTCCACTCTTATCTCCTCGACTTCTGTACCCCGTTCTCGTTCTCTTCCTATCCCTGACTTACTGCGATGCTACCACCTTTTATCAATCCTACCCTCTCCTTACTGTGGTGTATCTTGACCCCTAAAAATGAAACCTCGAAATAATAAAAAAAACGCTTCTTGTCTCCTACCTACCCTTCTTCGATGTGTCTTTCTGGAATATGAATATCGAGTGTGAGATGTTCATAGGACATTGCCATTATCTGAATCTCATACAACACTCCAGAGAGGAAGTGGGTTCTTATTACATATCCTCTGCAGATGGACTAGCCGATTTATCCAGTACTGTATTTGTGTGGATGGATGGTTTGTCCAACTAATCCTTGTTAAGACCACGGCAGCTGGTGAGATGTCCGCAACTTCTGCTATCCTACAACCTGCAATGTAGGTGACGGTGAAACTGCCGCCTCGGGAAATGAACGGCTCCTAGTGAGAAATACAGAGCATGTACTGAGCTCTTGACAAAATCAGCGACGGGTGGAAAGGTAGCGATAAGTACTGTTCCCTTGGTAGTCTCGGTTCTCTGCAACATATGCCCAGCAGGAACCCCCCAGGTATGTCTTGAGAGATATGATCGTGGTTCGCCATGAGGAACCGATGGAGGCCCATCCGAACCACAACTGAAAATGAAGCACAGAGATAGGTGTACCAGGTCGAGCATCTGTCCTTGGGGAGAAAGAACACGCTCATGAAGACGATGGCTTGAAGAGAGACAAGATCTCGACGCGTTGCGATATCCCCTGCAGGTGCCTGCTTTTCTGCAGAGGTGATGAGTTGACCGCTGGTCACCCAAAACTGGGAACTATGAAAGGGACAGTTTGAATCATTGGAAAATTGTGGGGGTTGGAGTCCTTTCACAATCTAGTCCTCGGCTTGAAGGACAATTGCCTGCGGGGGGAGAGAGAGAGGGAAGAGGCAAGCAATAAGTGCTTATACCCGTTGAAAGCCGAGGCGGAAATACAGTGGACCACCACGCTCCATACAAAGTACGTGTTGTCTAAGATTTGAATCTTGCTTTTCTGGCTTTTCGTCATTTGAATCTTCTCCCCGTTCTTGTTTCTCGAGTGACTGCTTTGATCGGTGCAATCAATCTTGCATGCTTACAATGGTAGGACGGGATGAAAACAGGACGGAAGTTGTGAGTGACCTACGTGAGAGATATCCGTATGCTAAGACAATGCCGTGATAGACATGCTGTCACAGACCTTGACCAAGGCATTGTGGGACAGGGGGATCAAGATGACCCGTTTAATCAACAAAGGTTGTTTCGATGAGCTCTAAGGCGAAAGTAGAGCGCATTACAGGATTTGAGTGTCTGTATTACTAGAAGCAAGAAAGTTGTCAAGAAAGCTCTTGAAGATCTCATTTCATTCCATTCAATCGTTATGTAAATACTCCTCTGGGACTCACGGACAAAAGAGATAAGAGAAAAGACCAGCCTGCGGGCAACAGACCTAGATACAAACACGTGCCCGCAAAAAGTGGGCGCGACAAAGGAATGAAGATGAAAAAAGAAAGGAAAGACAAGGAAAGACAAGGTGACATGAAACCCGTAGGGCGGAATACACAAATGAAAAAGTGCCACCTGGTAGAGTTTTATGAACAAGAGACACCGCCAATGGTAGGTTCTGTACAAGAATTTAAAAATCCACCAGTAGACATGTTGATGGTCTGCGGTGGTGAGATGGTGGATTTTGGCTGTGAGGGGGTAATCCTCGCAGACAGATATCACACCGAGAGATGTAGACATAGAATAGGAAGGATAATGTGCTGGCAGCGTGTTGGGTGTAATTTCTTCTCAAATCAAATGCAATCAAATGCACAGAGGAGATTCGTTAGGGTGCATAGAGTAATGCTGTGTGGAACTGTGGACAGGAGGTCAAACCTCGAATTGCCACGGTGACTGGTGAGACATGCCTATAACAAGCAAAGTTTTTTCGAAAGATGGAACGAGAACGCCGATATCGAAGCGGATGTCCGAAAGAAACAGGATCAGATGCGGGGTCGCTGCGTGAAGAAGTTGAAGGTGACGTAGCCGGACATGATATCGACGGCTGGCATGCATGGATGATATGAGGGGTGTGGACATTAATCAATGCTGTCGTCGAGGCTTACATTGTTGGGGGTGGCCGGGGCACGGTTTCGCAGACCAAATCTCCGTGCTCCCAAGCTGTTCGTTCGCAGTCGTGGAGGTTGGATTGGTGTGTAGCTGGTTGCCATCTTGCTCGATGGAGTCGAGATCCGGGTTTGGGAAGGTTCCAGTTGAGACGAACGCAGACCTTCTTCGACAGGAGATCCATGTAAATTGTTGGAAGAGAAGCTGGGCGTGAGGCCGTACCGGCGAGACCCAGCCTGGATGTTGGAGCGGGATGTCGCAGGAGGGTACGTAGCAGGGTTCAAGTAGCTTCGGCGGAAGGAGAGACTGGATGAGAGAGTCGGTGTCCGAGGTTGTGCAAACTGCACCTGCGGCTGAGGGACTTGGGAGGGTTGGTATTGTGGGGAGCGAGGGGGGTATCCGAAGCCGCTCTGGTCCTGCTGCATACCGGAAATGGAGCGGGACAAAGTGTGACCTTGGGAGAATCGTTGCCGAGGAGAGGGTATGGCTTGCGTCGGAAGTGAGATACCAACCTCTGTATTGGCTCTGGAGACCGAGGGACTAGGTGGGCTTTCAGTCCCTCCGTTCTCCTCGCCAATTGTCAGCCTGCGGCTGCGGAGGGAACTCGGCATGCGATTGAGACGACTGGCTGGCATAGACATGCCGGGAGATTGGGTTGGACTCTGTTTCACATCTGTCGTGTTTCCAGGGCTGGAATTGGCCATGGACACTCGACGTGCATCAAGGCGACTGGAGATACGAGTCGTGCTATGGCGCCGTTCAACTCCTTCAGGCTCCAGGCTCGCATTTCGCTGATACAGTGGTATCGACAAGCGAGCAACCCCGGTGCCATTCGATAATTGGGGCTGCACGCCTGTCTCGCGGCTCGACAAAAGTCGGGTATTCTTTAGTTGCTCATCCGTCAAGGCTAGGCAGAGTTCGGTCAGGCTGCGGCACACACTGTCCGCTTTGCGGCGAGCATGTCGTTCAGGTGAGGTGTATCCATTCACAACAGAAGCGGTGCCCGACGGAGCGGTATTGACGCCCAACGCGGTGGAAAGGTTTAGAGCATCGGTAATAGTCGCTTCAAGGGAGGTGTACACGTCACCGCTCAAGACAACTTTAGCCTTGGCCAGTGCGGATTGCAGAATCGGATGCACCGGGCTATGTTCCGTCTCTGCTGTTGAGTCGCTGACTTTGCGGCGTTGTTTCGGTGGGGAGGATAAGGTGGTAGTGGCCGTGTTTGCCGTCCGCGGTCTCTCATTGGTAGGGGTGTACATCGCCGCTGAAGACGATGGAGGTAGCTTCCCAGTCATTTCCAGCTTCTTGATCCGATCTTTGAGATCATCCAATTCGTCCCAGACAGTGGATGGGGCCGTGGTGGACAAGGTCGACTCGGTTCCATCAGCGCGCGATCGGTCTGTATCGGCGCGCGGTCGCCCAGTCACCTCCGAGGCAGACGGTTGCCGACTGGTTCTGATTGTAGACAGTCCCGAAAGGCGATTGTTGCGCGGATCGTTTAGAGAGGAGCGGCGCTCTTTCTCCTCAGCAGCAGAAGGTGTGCGCGGTGAAGATTCTGGGCTTGTGCGGCTGAAGCGGCTTCGTGGAACGCCGACAACGGATCGCGCACCAGATCCCAAGCTGCTGTAGCGGAAGCGACTTGGGTCGTCCAGAGGATGGGTGGATGACGCCGGAGTGTGGAGGGAGCTGTAGGGAGTAGCGGGGGAATCGGATTGGAAATGCAAGGGGTTGTCGAGATGGCTATATCGCTGATCGGGTGAGGGAGTTGGTTCAGTCGTTGGCGACCGTAAGCTTTGGCTAGAATAACCAAGCCGTGACTAGTCCATATGTTCTTGTTAGCTATTGGGGAAGTCGCAAGAAAGAGTTATGCGGATGCCACGGTCGATGCATGCCAGAGCGATCTGGAATGCGACCGGCTCAAGGCCTGTGTTGTTCTCGCTTACCCGTCTAAAATCCGAGCGACCTATCGAGTCGCGACGGGCAGAATCGGTTCTCGCAATATTTAGGAACACATCCTCGTTCTTTGGGCGGCCCTCGTCCATCGAGGACTTGTCCTCGATCCCCCGATGTGTACCATTTAGCGGGCCGTTTAGAAAGCGAGGATTGTCATTTAGGGTTCTGGTCGCTCCAGAATCAGCCAGACTTGATGGCATGGTTCTCTTCACATCAGGGCGATCTTGATGTGATTCGTCTTGTCTGGGCCTCTTCGGGGCATAAGGGGATTCAGAAGCTCGGGGGCTGGGTGAGCTGAAGCTTAGGACGGAGCGCCGGGCGCGGTGCAATAAGGAGCGTTTGGTGGTTAGATTGAGTGTTTCATCTGTGGGGCCATCGAAGCGAGTGTGCAATGACGAAGAACGCGAGTGAGGAAAATGTCGGGATTGTTGGAAATGCTGGTCGTGGTCATAGTCACGCTGATCGACCTGGTGCAAATGGTCACGGGGACCTGCAGCCATTGTGTACCTCTGTACGTGGTACAGAGTACACAGAGTACGGTAAAGTACTTACTATGTACGGAGTAGTGCCTTTGGTGTGAAGTATTCCTAGAACAATTCTGGGGAAACTTAGAATTGTATAGTTCCGACAGATTGGAAATATGCACAGTTCATAGTCATTGCAGGATGTCAGTAAGGACTTGTGGACTTGACCTGTCAGAATATTGGCGGGTATACACTGTGGGAAAATTTCAATAGTGACGAACCCTTTTCTATTTTAATAATTGCTCTGGCTTTGAGTCTTGACAAGGTGACTTGGCCTATGTAGGCCCGATTTGCTGGATTATACTCCGTACTAAGTAGGCGCTAGTAGTCTCCAGGGCTATTCTATGTTGTATGTCAAATCCGATGTCTACATCCCTAGGTACCTCACATGCTGTTGGAGATGCAGACTTTGTCACAAAGAAGACCGCGGAGAAGGAAAATGGGAAAAACGAAAAGGAAAAAACACAGAGCTTTTGAACCATGGTTCAATCAGCGAAGACCATGGTTACTTGTCAAATTGAAATTGACTACTTGTTTCACAACAAACTGCTCTGCTCTATTCGGGGTGTTCTCCATAAACATGTAAACAGGCATAGCTTGGTCTATGACATCTACAGAAAGTTACGGAGGACTCCGTAATTCTTGATGAAATGCATGTATAGTTGGGACATCTGGCAAACCACACGACCTACTCTGACATAGAACCATTCCACTGCTCCCTTGCCCTAGGATCCCTGTCAACCTTGAACTAGAAGAACTTTGAACGATAGCGAGAAGGGGGAAATGCGCTTCTATCTACAGCGTTTTTGCCTCTATTGACAAAATAGGGATATCAGCTTGAATGCGTTGGCCAACGTTCTATTCTGATGCGCTGCCTTCGATTCCCATCAGAACATTCAAAAACAAAGCGAGCCGCTTTGGAAAAAAATTCTCCGGGCGCAAGTTGGTGGTCCTTGCTATTGATGATCTTGCTTCCAAGGGTCAATTAAGTAGCGAGGATTGCTTTTGTTTATCACTAGACCATATACCTAGGTGGGCTACACGCAGTACTCGGAGAAGATATAAGCAAGGCCAGGCTAATAAAGGGGGCTTATTTAGTGATCTATGTCCTTGTGCGGAGGGTGGAGTACTTTTGCCTATCTTTTTAAGGAGTACGGAGCAGTCTCGCCATCATCACTTAGTCTGGAATCCCACAGAACGCCTCGTCTAGATCCATGTCCTCTGCACAGTGATCCAGTTGAATCCTTGAACCAGGCACTGCCACCTCCCGGGCTAGCCAGTGCGTGGCAAATCCTTTGTTACGGGCATAATGTCGCAATCCCTCCGGAGTACATACATCTGAGGCATACATTTGGGACAGAATTAGCGGACCAACTCGGTACCTTGTTTGGATCGATCAGCAAACACCCATTTATTTGTGGAATACTCCGGAGACCTCGATTTTGCAGCGACCGGGAGTAAACTGTGTAATTTTCTGTCCGTACATGTCTCCATTCTCAACGATGAGACGAGGAGTTGACCGGTAAAGAGTCATTTGATTGAACAAACTGACCTATGCTACACACCTATGGAAAGGGTCTGTCGAGTCTGAAATACAAGAAAACCAGAGCTTATGTTGTACGCTGCTCAGATCGCAATTCAGGACTTGTTTGAACCCCCCCTTCCCCCAAAAAAACCAAAAAGCGAGTTCACGGTGAAACATCTAGGATCTTCTCAGAATTGATCAAGAGCGTCAGCGGAAGGGGGTCCATCCGTCTAGAACTCTACTCAAAACCCGATTGTTTTACGGAGTCCCAATATCTGGGAATCTCCTCTCCAGACTCGGTACATCACAAACTGAAGATCCAGTTTCAGGACACGACCACCCACGTGGAAAAGATCGACCAAATCTTCCCCGAAACCAGAGTGGATAGCCTCAAAAACTCTCCTCAGCCTCCATGGAGACATACCCCCGGCCGTTGGTATCAGCTATCTGCATCTGGACATCGGCGATAATGAACTAAAATAGATTAACACCTTCATGTTTGGAGACCTTGAACACGATCCCGCGATGCCAGAACCCACTAGTTTGCCACTAGTGTCAACTTGGCGTGTTTCATACAGCGCCAAACCCAGATCCATGGGGTTTCAAGTTGTGCCTTCTCCTCTTGACATCATCCAATCAAACATCTTTTTATGTTCCTCTCTTAGGGCCCCCCCAACCGTTGAGTGGGCCAATGGTATCATGTTCACATCATAGATCAGCCAGCCCACCGAATATATTTGCTATATTGTAACTATCTTCAGGGAGTCTATCTAACATGGAAGAAAGAAAAAAAAAATTAAAAAGCCGAAAAAAAAAACCCTCTTACGGAGTTCTGTATTCCGAGAGACGGTTAAAGTGAATTTGGAATTGATCGAATCGAGACATCGGGTTACTACAGCACATCTCCACCATATCCCGTCCCCATGTCTTTCCCCCCTGGTCATCTCGCCGTTTGTCCATAACTATGTGTAATAAACAGTTGCACGGGGATTGTCAATCTTATCCAACGTGAAGGAACAGAACTCAGCAGTGGGACTATGTGGGACCTCAGTACGGAGGATTATCTTGCGTAGAAAAAGCAGTCGGATGAAAATACCTGTAACATTGTAGAAAAAATAATACACTAAGGTGGGAAGAGGCACACCCTCGAGCCTCTCATTTACCTTGGTTTGACGCCGACTAAACATTCCAGCGGCTAAAATTAGAGCAGCACATTTAATTGGGTTTTCTCCCAACATAACTCTCCCCTCTTTTTTTCTTTTTTCTTTTTTTTCTTTTGGTAATGTACGGAGTACGTTATGTTACAAAATGTACTGCCATCCATCTCTAAATAAAACCACAAAGGGTCCAAAACCCGTATACTCTTCTTTTTTCTTTTTCTCCCTTTCGCCTTTCAACCTTCTCTTTTTTTGATCCTTTTCCCTGGAGGAACCGCTTTGATTCTATACACTTTCCAATCCTATACACGTCGGATTCCTTTTTTCTTTTTTTTTTTCTTTTCTTTTTTTTAAAGTATGATTTCTTGATCTTGGATTATCTCATTCCTTTCAGATTCCTTCATTTTCCTTTCCTACTGGAAAGACACCCTTGTGATTTGGTATGTGGACAGTCTTCTCATATCCCTCTAACAATTCCCACTTCCCACTCCATGACATCGTGCATCGGGTGGATGCCTTTCCCCTTGTGATATGCATGATCGCCCGGATCATTAGTCTCAAACCCTTGCATTTCAGCAGCCCTAGATTCAGAGCTAACACCCTTCCCCGTGGAGACTCCATTTGCGCAGGCAGCAAGTGTATCTTCGATCTCGAATGCCATTCTAGCCCCCTCTTCAGAGCCGGATTAAAAGGAAAACCTTCCTTTTCACAGCGTCAACTTGGACCATGCCAGTGCAAACGAGCCAGGCGTCCTTTCCGGACTCATTTCCGTCTTTCATGTCGGTGTTTGGTGGTCCTCTTCCACGATACAAAGAAGACGCAAACACTATTCATCCACTTCAATACCCAACCCATGTCCCGGTCAATACACGCCTGCTTCCTTCCCCCCACCGCGAAAGTGTTTCATCCATGACCTCGGTATCAACCGAGTCCTCTCCGACCACCACCATCTCGCACTTTGATTCGCCCGGCGGGGGTGACATCTCTCCGAGCTCATCCCCAGAATCTCCCTCTGCAATGTCCGTCTCATACCCAAAATGCATGCCTTCAACAAGGCCCGCGGAGCTTCCTCCGCGCCTTGCGCCGGTCGGTGAACCGCGTCTGTCGCAGCCGGCCCCTCATCACACGCGCTCAGACTCCCCAAATCGGCGGGCGCGTAATCTCAAGAACTTGTCATTGCGAATGCCGTCCCCATCGCAGTCCTGCCCACCTCTCGCTAGTGCATCGGCATTAGAGACAACATCAAAACACCACTTGGATGCCCTGCCATCTCCCGTCCCGATCCTTTCCCAGAGCAGGAGTACGAGGCGGCGCGCCGCCAATCTTACCATCCAAACTCCCACATTCGTCAAACCGTTATCCGGTATCGCCCTTGATGTCGTGCCTCCAACTCCATCCCTGCGCCACGCAGAATCTTCACCTTCGCTTGCATCGATGACATCGCCCTCGCTCGCCTCGCGGTCAGGTATGCAGCTTCCCCGGCTAATGTCACAGGGTACGCGCCGCTTCTCTAGCGCGTCTGCCGAGGATGCTGCATCCCCTGTCATCTTGAAGCCGGTTGATGGTTCTGGCTTCTCTCGCCGTGTTCTCGATGGCCTAGAAGAGGAGGATGATCATCTTGACTCGCGCGAGTCGACCCGCAAGAAGGATCGTGGGTACCCCGATGGGCCCATCCGGATCCATGACTCCGGTGTCTACCTGTATCTAGAACCAACAGCGGAAGAAGCGTCCAAATTCGACGTGGTGATCAACGTCGCCAAGGAAGTGGTGAACCCGTTCAGTGCGAGCAAGGACGAGCGGAATGATACCGTGATGAGCACTTGGCGGAACACCTCTATGGTCTCGCACCGATTCTCCCGCGGTGAGCCCCAGACAGCGATTTCAGAAATCTCCTTCAAGTCTGCGTGGGAATATCAGCCTTCGGACTCTGAGTCGCCAAGTCCTACTGCCGAAAGTCCTTCAACACCAGCACCCGAGTATCTCCATGTCAGTTGGGACCATAACTCGGAAATTCTCGAAGACCTGCTCCCGCTTTGTGAGCTGATTGATGATCGGATCGCGGAGGGAAAGAAAGTCCTAGTGCATTGTCAACTCGGCGCTAGCCGCTCAGCATCGCTAGTGATTGCCTACGGATTGTACAAAAACCGGCACCTGGATTTCAACTCGATGTACGAAGCAGTCAAGGGACGCAGCCAGTGGGTTGGCCCGAACATGAGTCTCATCTACCAGCTCACAGACTTCCGCTCTAAATTGTTGCGAGGGTCTACCTCGAAGCCCCCGCCTCAGGAGTGGTTTGTACAAACCGGCCGACGAAGTTCAGAGCCTCAGGTTGCACAGGCTGAGCGGGCTGTGTCCAACGAATCAAGCCGACCGTCCTTCCGCGGAATGTCACAGGCATCTTCAATTTGCTGTCTCTCAATCCCCGAAACCAGCTCGACGCGTCCCACTACGAGCGACGACGGTAGCTACACAAAATTCAAGTCCTACTCGCCCAAGCGGAGTCTGTCCCCCCGACCCCTCCCATTCCGACAGAAGTTCCAGTCCGTGGGACCTGCCGCGGGTCGACTACGAGGGTTGCCGCGTAGCGTCACCATCTGTGACCCGCTCGGTCAAACCCGTTTCGTTGCACGTGATACGCCAGAATGCGGTGATGATATGTTTTCACCGAGAACAAACGAATTCTTCTCGCCAGCTCCGGTGGCACCACGATCATTCCACCGGATTGATCGCTCCGCAGCCCTATTTTCACCCCCGACTCCTCACGCCATTGGGTTTGCCGCCGAACCGGCAGACCCTCGCTCGCCTCCATCCGGCGGCGAGCCTCTGATCATGAGATCTATTGATGAATTCTTGTGATCTCTCTGCCTTGTGTCCTTTAAGGCCGGGCTTGAAACGATTCCACGACCCGACATATTTCCCATGTCTCTCTTGATTTGAAGACCATCTCCTCACCCCGGGGCACGAGGCACGAGGCCCGGGGAGTCAACGCAACCGTTCCATTCTCACCTATTAATTTCTTCCACTCATCTCTATCAGATGACTGGCTTGATGATACTCATGACCAAAGCAGGCTTTGTTGTCGCTCATCTCCTTTTTTTTTTTTTAACCCACTTGCACACTTACTGCATTACCTTTTTTGTCATTTGAACCTACGGGTCTTGCCAACGCCGTTACTGGTCACCATCGCTTCAATTTCTTTCTCCTTTTTAAAAAAAAACCACCGGCGTCTCAGGTGTCCAAAACGGACGAATTTTGATTCCAAGGCCAGCCTTGGAAAATCGAAACAGACCCGTATGATTTCATTTCGGCCTGGTACCTGTACTATTATTGGAGGATCCTATCTTTTATTGGGGTTCTCTTGTTTCCCTTGACTTTCCTCTCACTTTCACTTGGTTATCTCGTGTCACTCTCTTATCTTTCCCTCTTGCCGCTCAGACAAGGCCTTTGACGCCTTTCTTTGTTTGTTCAGCAATCGTGTGGTGGAGGTGCTTGGTTCCTTTCGGACCTCACGGTATGTTTGGTTTATGGGTCAGGATGGCATGATATATAGCCCATTTTACGCCTCGTCACAAATAGAGATCGATGTTAGGCTTCAGTTGTTTCTCGTAAAGCTGTAAAATTTGGCATCATGTCTAGTTATAGTAGTGGTAGTAAATCCACTTGTGGCTCCAGGCTGTTTTTTGATTAGAGCGGAGATGACGATAAGCCCCGAGAACACCTCCAACCCAAATTTTCCCCTGCGCATCGTCTCCTCGCTCGTGAAAATGGCCGAAGAATCTCACCCGGCATACCTCTCGCCCAGCGAGCTGGGCACAAAAGACTAGTACGTGTTCCTTCGGCCGCACCGTCGTCCTTTGCTAGACGCAAGAACTGGGAATTCATGAACCCCGCTCTGCCCCTCCATGAGTGTTGTACACAGTGAATCAGCCACAGCAAAGCAGCAATTGGATCGGCTTGGACTACCGATTGATCTATAAACTGCATCTTATCTTGAACCCAACTTTCTAGATGCAAAACTAACAATCTCAACCTAGCTGGGAAAACTACTACGCCCGCACACTAGCCCACATCTCCCACGAAGCTCCCAAGAATGGCACCAATGCCCTTGATAAGCAAAATGACGATGATGCCGCATCCACAACTTCCGACCTAAATGAAGAAGATGACCCGGGCACATCCTGGTTCTCCGAACACAACGCCCCGCAAAAAGTCCTCCACTTCCTCACACGCAAGTCCTTCCCCTTGTCGCCGCGCAACACAGTGCACAAGAAAGGCTCCCACCAGCCAAGTGTTCTAGATCTTGGTACTGGAAATGGGAGTATGCTTGCGCTGCTTAGGAAGAGAGGCGGCTATAAGGGACGTCTTGTTGGCGTTGATTACTCGCGCCAGAGTGTTGAGCTTGCTAGGGAGTTACAGCGGGTGAGAGGACATTCGGCTTATCGGAGTGACTCTGAAAATGAGGAGGAATCCGATGATGAAGAGGAAGCAGAGGATGCGGTTGAAATCGAGACAGAGACTGGTTCCAATGACTTGCCGGAACAAGAAACATCCATCCAGTTCGAGGAATGGGACATCCTCGGCTCGAAGGCTCTTCTTTCTGAGACGGGTCTCGCGGCATCACCCTCCTCTCCCTCGGAAACCCTCCCCTGGTTCCCCTACCAGGAAGGCGGGTTCGATATCGTGCTTGACAAGGGGACGTTCGATGCTGTCTCGCTGGCCGATGATGCGAAGACCACCCGTGTCTGTGAGAGGTACCCTGATATTGCGCGACGCTTAGTGCGGCGTGGCGGGTTCCTGATTGTTACTACCTGTAACTGGACTGAGGAGGAACTGGTGCAATGGTTTACTGGTGCTCGGACGAGGGGAGATCGGCTGGCGGTTTGGGGCCGTGTTGAGTATCCTCGGTTCCGGTTTGGAGGGCATGAGGGGCAGGGTGTTTGTACAGTGTGTTTCCAGAGGCTTGTGAATGCTTGATATTTGAGTGGACCTGCGGCACACCATGCGAACAATACCCCTGAGCCAAAAAAAAAAAAAAAAGGTAGGAGTGCAGATAGATATGCTGAATATACCGAACTGTTTCAACCATGCCAAGGCAAACGCACATGACATAGAAACATCTAATCTGTTTGCTCATCTGTTTTATGCTCATAATCTCATCATGCAAAGGAAATGAGATCTCGCTCGAAAATGCATCATCCGAACCACAACTTACAACACTACTCCCCCCTCCTCTTCAAAACAGCAATAACACACCACCTCTTCTGGTTCTCCGTACCCTCCCCTTCCCTAACCGGAGTCCACTCTCTGCGAATCTCACCCCCATCCTCCAACCGCGCTACCAAATCCCTCTCATAGATGCTCTCGATCACAAACCCATTCTCAAGAACCGTCTCAAAGAACCCGGCAACAATCGCCCGTCCCGTGTGGAACCCAGCAACGACCCACACCTTTCCGCCCGGCGCAAGGAACCACTGCATCGTGCGGGCAAGGTTCTCATGCTGCGAGCGCATCCAGTAACAATCTGCCGCGACGATGCGCGTGAAGACACCCTTATTCGCCATCGAGAAGGAGTCATTTAACACTCCCCATTCGTGCGGGTGCATTGAAACTTCTCCCACAATTTCAGGCGTGCGCCTGGATAGGTTGTGCTCTATATTGAAAGCGATTGCCCCGCTGAATGCAGGCGAGGAGGGGTGGTCGGTTGCCACGACCTTCGAGGCATCTGCTAGGGCACAAATTACAGAGGGGAGAGCGGCACCTGTATAATATGAATGCGTTAGTTTGGGTTGGTTAGGGTTGGCGGGGTGCAGTAACTATCAACTGTAACAAGTGTTGACGAAAACTGAACTGCCACTTACCAGCGCCCAACTCGAGCACTCTCTCGCCCTTGATACCCCACATCTCGCGGGTTTCTCTCTGGGCTTCTGTCTCTGTTTCACCTGGTGCGGTGGGTGTGTCCGCTTGCTCGACACCTTCTGCAACAACCATCGCCGCGCTCCAGAGGAAATGCGCGAAGAGCTTGCGCCCCTCGTCGACCTCGTTCACGGACTTATCGGCCTTGGGTTGGCCTGCGGCGATTTCCTCGGAGCGCTTACTGCTTGAGGCCGGGTAACTGGGGACCATGATGTTGAGATCGCCATAGCGCGGGGAGCTGTAGAGGAGGTGTTGGCCTGGGTCACCGTGGAAGGAAGGCGCATCGTCTGGGAAGAGATGGGGGAGGAATGCACCGAAGAGGTCTTCGGGTGATTCTTCGATTTCACTATCGACATCTTCGTTTTGGAATTCTGGCGCTGGGGCGCTTGGTGTGTTGGTGGGGTGGTGACGGCGGGGGAGAGGCCGTAGACGGGAATGGAGCATTGCTGCGGTTTGAGGGAGTTGGGGGTCAATGTGTGGTGGGACTAAATCCGGTATGTGAGAAGTAGACCTCGAAGGTTTGCATGGTTGAAAAAGTCGATTGGCCTATTATGTGAGGCCATTGCGATGGATCCATCCGAGATGTGCCCAATCTTCATTCCTTATCGGGTATTTCCTTCACAAGATGTTTGCACTGTTTGATAGCTTTCAGGGCGGATTGATTAGGTGAGATTCCCTCTGGCTGTCAGCTGTCCGACCACGTCGTATAAGATTGGAGAATAAAAGAGGAGCATATTGTGAGATTCACTAAGCTGATTGAATTGATATCTTCGAAAAATGGTTAATTTTTTTTTCTTTTTTTTCAACGACTAGGATAAGCTCTCGACAGCTCTAGTAATTTCATCGGCAACGATCCAACTGTCCAACCCAATGACACTGACATGAAGAATGTCCCGAGTGTCCCGCAGGTCAATAATGACAGGCCAGCAACCTTAGGAATGTGCCAGAAGAAAATGTCAGGGGGACCTCCTTTTACTCTGAACGGCGCCAAAAATAATTCCCAGTGCTCGTGCGCAAGAAGGCAGTGTGACGCTCGGAGTAATGATCCTCTCCTGCAGGCATTATTAGCGTGTGAGATGGCGCGACCTGCTCGTAGGAAAATGGTGACCTGAGTGATTACCTAACACCTGACCACCAGGGTCCAGGGGCCCTCTGCTTGCCTTGGACTGTTAGGTGATAAGCCACAGTTGCTCTTTGCCACAGCAAAAGACATTCTTACATTGCGTATGTAAGTACGGAATCTACAAGGGGAAGCCTATAACTAAATGACATCGTATCCACAAGAGTGTATCAGGTGATTTATTTGACTAAGCCCTCCCAGTGACATCACTGGACCCACCTCATCCACCCTCTTCCCAGCACTAGACCGGTCGATGTATGCAGGTGATCTGGTCGATACATGGCAAACCGGTACTCTCCAAGTCACTAGGTCAACCTTGGAAGTATTTACGGGCATTTCCTATCAACCGAAATTCGTCATTACCCGGGCGGGAATCAAGTGACCTGATTGGTACTTGCATCTGGAGTCCAGCTGTGCCATCTTGTGACCCTAATTGATCGTCAGGCAACTGGAGGTTTTTTTTTTGGGAGAAAATGTAGTTACTTAGATTCCGTTGTTTGGTAACCGTATAAGACCACATCAAGCGAATTGGTTTATAAAGGATTTTAAACGTAGCCAGTTAAGCCTGGACCCATGGGACTATCCTTGAAAACCAGGGCGCAGACCCTTCCCCTGTACGGAACACCATCCGAGCAGGGCAAGGTATTCAGACACATTACCAAATATGATATTTAAGAACGGAGTAGCCCTGGGAGATTCTACCCAACGTTCGCCATTCGAATTCCAGAATTCAAGTTGAATACAATAAACATGTCTTCGGACAAGTGGATCCACTCTACTATCGCATTAGAGGCATTGCAACACACACCGATATAACACACAATATAGGGGATGCTTGGAGACGAAAGAACTTCAATTTTTCAAGTTTAGACAAGAATATAGTCCAAAAGTCATCGATATCTTCCAAAACATTAGCAGCTAAATACTAAACTCGTATGTATGACCGGTGATCGCTTTCCCTCCCCCCCCCCCCCCCCCCGCATGCTCAAAGGGAAAGGCCCCCGCAAACCTGAGCCATTTTGGATCATACCGGCCCTGACTCTTTCTCTCCTTCTTTCTCCTCTTTTTTTTTTTTCTTCTTCCACCTTTCTTTTTTTTCGATTCCATCGCCTTTTTTTTTCTTTATTCTCTTTCATTCTCTATCTTCATATCCTCTTCTTCTAGCATTCATTGCTCTCCTTTACCTATACATCTCGGATCCGGAACTCTGCCTTATTTCACTTTCGTTGAATTGAGGGCAACTCGTGTCCTAGAGGAGTGTCAATTCCATTGGAAGCTTCCTCTCAATTCTTACCATGGCCTCATTCAAGGTAGGTGGTCAGCATTTCCATTTGACACCCTTTCTTTTTGGAGAGGGGATCATACTAATATAGTGGCCCCTTTGGCCATTCACAGGAATTACCCATGTCGCGTCCTCTCCCCAATCCTAGCCAGCGTCATCACACGCATTCGACCTCGCTAGGTGCCCTCAATCCAAACCACCGTGTAACTCGCCGAAAAAGTATCACCGCCGCCGCTGCCAATGCTGCCGCCGCAGTCGTCGCCTCCATGGAGGGTGGGGAGGCTACCTCGCTCCCCATGGGTGCACACCGCCGCAGCCTAGCAGGCCGCAAAGGACTGGAAACTGGCTCTATCGGAAATGTATCTGGCTTCAGCTCCTACCTCTCCCGCAGAATCAACAGTCCTAGCCAGGAACCACCGGTCGCCCGCAAAAGTTCTCCGGGATCGGACCACTCCGATGGCAAGCCCAAGAACCGGAACCGCGGAGCCAGCGAGGGTGCCCAGCTCAAGACCGAAGGGAAGCGTGCTTCGACGGCCATACGTTGCGATCGCTGCGGGAAAGGGTATAAGCATGGCAGCTGCTTGTCTAAGCATATGTGTGTATCCCCCCTACCGCTCGGCCGTCTTCTTCTAGCTCGATCGGGAAATATGCACCATGTCGGCTCTGTGCAGGTCGCCCTCGTGGTTGTTGAACTCCCCCTTCATCACTGCCCCCTTTTTTCTACCCCTTTCGACAACATTTAATTGACGTGTTTTTTTTTCATGGTATCTTAGGTGGGAACACGACCCAGCATGGTCCGTTACTTCGAAGCTTCTCATCTCCAAGCATCAGCAGGTTCAACTGCTGGAAGCCGCCTCCGTTTTGGTTACCATGAATCACGATGATCCGCCCGATGAGTCCGCCGAGTTGGAGTCGGAATTGTCGTCTGGGTCGCCGGACGCCCTGTCAGAAATGAGGGATGGCATCAGCTCCGTGGAGACCACGCCACCCCCAATGGACTCGGAGGAGGACGACGATTTCGAGATGTCGGGTGTACCGGCCCAGTGGACCAAACGCCCCAGCGTCAGCAACGCCTCCGGTTTCTCTCGTTCCTACCAGTCCATTCCCTCCAGCTCGTACAATGATAGTGCTCCGCTGCACTCCCCGAGCTTCTCTCACTTCCGTCAATCGAGTATCGACACCCGTCCTTCGACTGCGGACGCACGATTACACGAGGATGATGAGGCGGATCTTGCCGCGGCCATCGGCCTGTGCAATTTCGGGACTCCTCGCACAGGGCCTGTTTCCATGACCCCGGATGTCCCACCAGTGCCTCCACTGCCGGCGCGCTACTTGGACTCAAGCAGCCACCCGAGCACCCAGGGTCTCCATTCCCCTTACTCGCGCCCCACAGAGGAGGCCGCTTGTCAAGACTCCTACGCAAGCATCTTCTTGTCCCGGTCGCTCAACCCGTCGCTGTCGTACAAGGTGTCGGATGAGCGTGAAGTCCGGACAGGTGGTGACGAGGCGCAGAAATCCCGGCAACGTCGTAACGCCGATGTGGACTTTGGTAACCGCTCTGCGCCAGCCGATGACGACGATGGTGGTGTCTTTGGCCACATGGAAGAGTAAATATCCCAGCCCCCGCGCCTGCGTGCCTCCGAGCCAGTCCTTGGGTCAAATCGGTGCATGCCGAACGACGACCCCTTCACGATCTCATGTACGAGCTTGAGCGAATTTTTTGAACTTTCTTGTTTACATGTTTTGCAACCACTCCAGATTAAAGAAAAGAGCCAACGTTCCGATCTTGTGCAGAGCTCTTTTCTTAACGGAGTGTTTCACAATTCTTAGGACCTTTTCTCACTACCTTTGAGATCCCATGTATCAATCATGTCTCCTTGGCCCGCTTTGTGTCTTTTTCTGTGTGTTTAGTTTTGCCCCAGTTTATTCTCGGAACCCCCCCCCCCCCCATAAAGGCCACTCCGGATGGCCGGCGCATATTTATCCCCATCAAATACTTATATCCATAGGGCTATGACATACCACTTTCATGTCTCCTATGCTTTTCGTTTGTCCTTTTTTTTGGTTTTGGTTTTGGTCTCTCACCTCGCACATATATACCAAACCCACAAATTCTACGATCCGCTTCCCTACTATTCCCTCGTCTGTATCTCCTCCATTCTTTTCTCTCCGTCTCCTTGCCCACGCTCTTCTACATTTTCTCACCTATGGTCTCTCACTCTTCTGTACTCAACCCCTTGGATGGGGGCATACAATGAATATATCTCATGAATGTACTACACCTTAATCTTGAATATAGATCCACAGGCCATTTCCATGTCTGTCAGTGTGCCTGTACATCATAAGCGGGGAATTGAAGACCCACTATGGGATGGGGTAAAGGTCCATAATTTTTTTTCCGAATGTTTCGTCATAGGTAGAAAAATAGGATGTACAATTAAAAGAAGCTCTGATGCATATGAATAAAAGGGACTGTATAGGTTAATGCTTCCATGGAATTTTCTGCTGTTGTTAGCCTCTTGCAGACCACTCGTTGCAGAAATCAGCATACTTCTTCCTATGATTCAATTATGTTCCTATACCCTAGATATAAGTATTGGGATGTACCAAGCTAGGCATTCATGTGATATCCACCGATCTCAGATTGAGATAGATCGCTCATGCTCAAGATTTATGATTGCATAAAATGTGTAATGCATCAATCCGAAAGGCTTCATCCCAGGCAGCGTGTAAAATGCGATGCACCGGGTATTGCTCCTTGTAAAGAGACATTGGAGAAATAAGGGATGTGGCAGCAAGGCATGACCTTGAAAGCGCTCAGCAGCAAGTACAGTCAACAACTGAAACGCTAGGTCAAGGAATACCGCGTTGGTCATCTTCTAGTCACCGGGGGTATAGATCAGCACTGCAAGTCATGATGGGGAGATGAAGAGATGGAGTCTGAAACGAAGAGATCCTTTGCTCAGACATTACATTACAATCGAGAGGGTACCACAGGAGACGCTTATAAAAGCGATGGGTGTGAGGCCTAAATTAAGCAGGTGATGTGTATTATGGGCCTGTTAAGCAACAGCCACAACTCGATCGGCCAATTCGTCAAGCAGTCAAAGAAACAACAAAGACAATAAATATAGAAGAACCAAAGTAAAAGTATCAAGAAAGGGGGTTTTCACCATTTATCTTTTGAATCAGCAGCCACCTCCACCTCCACCACAACCTCCTCCTCCTCCGCAACCACCGCCGCCACTGCTGCCACCGCCACCATCTAAATAACCAAGTCAGTGTGAGATTCCGTCTAGAATGCCATAAAGGACCTACCACCACCACCGCTGGATCCTCCGCAGCCTCCACCTGATCCGCCTGTATAGAGAACCATCAGAATCCATGGTGGTCGAAGTTCATTAAGAGACTTACCACACCCACCACTACCACTGCCTCCTGCGCAGCCACCTGCAGCTACGGTACCACCTTTTGGCCAATCAGTTTCACTCAATGCTTCTATAAGGGTGTAGGAAGAGTTTACCACATGTGCCGGCACAACAGTTCCCAGTAGCACCTGCAGTAACGTTCATGCAGCCCGGATTACACGCGTATGAATCACAGTTGATGGACGGGTCCATCATGTACGGTCCATAGTATGGCACCACAATAGGGTAACCGTATGCATAAGGCATGTAATATGGATAAGCATCGCCCTGAGAACTCGAAGATTGGGAGCCGGATCGTTGACGGCGCTTCTCAGCACGCCGAGCAGCCTTTTGGTAGTTGCTCTGTAGACGTGCCCGTTGCAGGGATTTACGCCAATCTGGCCGATGATGCTGGTTTGTTGGCCGGACGGCGTTGTGTGAAGAGATGTGGGGGTTCTTGTTTGGGTCGGACGAGATATCGGGACGATCGTGCAAGAGGTCTGCAGCGGTTCGAGCGCGAGAGGCCGAGCCAACAGTGATCAGCCGGCTATACAGGTCTGGGGTTCGTGTTGCTTCGCAGTACCAGCAGGTGCATTCGCTGTAGATTCCGCCGTTCGTGACACGGCGGTACATTTTGCTGGTCCAGGCAAAGCCGTCGGAGAGTTTTTCCTCGTCGACTTTGTCGTCGTGGTCGATGAACATACGTTTACCACCCGGTTTTACCTGCGACGTGCTGTAATTGTAGTACCGCGATGGGCTGAGTTGGTGTGTGTGCCAGGCCAGGTCGACGTCCAGTGTGGGCACGGCCATCTTCTCTGGGTTTTCGATCATAATCTGAAAGAACACTTCGTACTTTTTGGTCAGCCGGTCCATGGTGTTGAAGACTGTTGGCGAGTGTAGCCAGTCGATTTGGTCCATTTTATCCACGAAGGTGCCTTGTCTGATGACAGCTCCCACAAGATCTAGCGCGAAGGGACCGAGGTTATCCCAGTATCGAGACATCATTCTTCGGAATTGGATCTTCTCGGCCGGCTGGAGACTTTTCAGATAGACTCCATGTGCTTTCCACAAAAGATTGGTGTCGCGTAGCTTGGTCTCGAGTTGCTCCTTCAGCTTGGTGACATTCTGACACAGATCCAGTCGACCATTAGTGAGATGCAACAGGCCCTTTCTGGAAGCCTGGACGACTCGTGTGGGGAATAGCATGTCACGTAGGGGTTGATGATTTTTTTTAGCAATTGAGCCCCCCTCGGGGATTCCATATAGACTGGTGAACGACCCGGGCATAGGCAGGTCTTGTTCAATAGCTGCTTTCAGGTCTTTTCGAAACTTTGCCACCTTGAGCCGGCCATGGTCGATTGTGTGTTTACAGCTGAAGCATTTCACTTCGAAGGAAAAATCGGCATACCCACTGCTAAATTTGAAGGCGTTGGCAACAGTTCCTCCAAAGCGAGCTTTGGTCCACGGAACAGCGTTCGCCCATCCACAGCAGGGGCATTTGACATGCTTGGTCAGCGGGTCATGTAAATTGTTCCACTTGAGGTTCAGTTTCTGCTCAAACAGCCGCTGGACTTGTTCGGAAACCGTATACTCCATCGTGTGATTGCTGATGCAGCGATCTATCGCTTCCCATGGAAATCCTGTTGCCCAGGTGCTGATTCTGCCGTATCGAATGCAATCCTCAAGGTAGTTCCGGGGATTCAACGAATGAGCATGCCAGACCATCAAAATATCTATAGAGTAGTTAGTCAACCGCTTTTTTTGCCTCAGAATCAACACACTAACCTAGCGGGGGCAAATTGTCCGTACTCCATGCAACTCTAGTATTACAACTTAGGATGTTTTCGTAGTCAACGGACTCCAAGTCATTGATAGTTGCCATCGGTCTTGACCGGGGGAGCCCAGTAGACCACCATTTGGTGTAACGCTCGACTGCACGCGCGGTGTATACCGCCCAGCGCTTTTCACGAATACGAGCCCGTGCTTCATTCAGTTCTTTCGGAAAGATTTCGGCTTTGGCGTCGTAGATACCAAAGAGCCCATCATCACTAGAGATAGTATCTCGCAGATCTGCGAGAACAGCCAGGAACTTGAGGTGTACAACACACTGGTCGCGAGTGATGGTATTTGAAGATGGATGGGAACTCAGATCCAGCTGTGGCAGTTGTAGTGCCGGCTGCTCGGCCTGGTTGGCCGAATAGGAAGGTGGTCGTTCATCGGAAGATTTGCCAATGGTTTCAGATTGATTGAATACTTCTTTGGAAATTTCATCCGTTGACCCCCCCATTTTGGTGTTTGATAGAGGAAGTAGATGAAAAAGATGTAGGTGTTGGTGAGCCAAGTCTGAGAGGTGTCAACGGGTGGGTTCTGTGGTCCTTTTATACATCGGATTGATGATAAAATCCAGGGATCTCATTGGTATTTGAGTACAAGCAGACAGATTCCAGTCAGCCTGGTGCTTTTGCCCGGCTTCCTAGCCTTTCATAGCCTCCTGATATGAGATGGATGAGATGCATAATGACAATTACCACCGAGTGCCCTAAGGGACTAAAATCTAAAACCACATTTGCCTAAGCCTCCACAAAAGTCAGGGAGGGGTTTTAGTGAATGAAGGGGTGTTCATATTCATTGACCTTCTGAGCCAATAGGCTGAGAACGTTCTCTCTCAATCTCATACTGGATTGGACGAACAGGGTGAAACCGGGCGCGACTGCCTTACTGACTGCTTTGGTGGCCCCAGTCCGCGCCCCAGGCTGTGTGCAAATACGCGGTGCATTGAATGTTCTACCCAAATGTTTCTAGTATCTTTCTACAACTCTATTCAAATGCATGCACTCTGAACAAAATACACAGCTCATCGCCGGTCACATGTTGGAACGCCGATTCAAGGTCACGTGGATGTCGATGCACATCTGGTCATGTGATATGCCCCCCCCCCCTCCGTGCTGACTCATCAAGGTTCCCGGAAGAAGTGCGCTCACCGAGTGAGGACAAGAAAGTTAATAAGGTTCTATTGGAGAAAGACAAGAAGGAAAAAGAAATAACCAAGCCCAAAAGAAAAGAAGAAGTACTACCCCAGATCAAGACCCCAAATTGTGTATCGGCGAACCCGTCCGGATCTCTCTCACCGTCTGAAACCGATCACGATCTGCTAAGACGGCATTCAGCCTGGCTTCTCTCGGGCGATCGAGCGGCATCGGAGAGGGCCAAACCCAAACTCTTGAGCCGATTGCGAGGATTGATAATGCTTCTATTGGAACCAGTCCCGTAATGGGGGGTGTAAATCAGGTACCTATCTCAGTTGCCGCCAATGGCGTGCATGGTCGCAAACGCAATATAACCATCGCGGGGATCGACAGTTCTCCCGGGAGTATCGAGGACATGGATGACAATGATGCGCGCGAGGAGAAGAGACGTCAGCCAGTGAAGCGCGCTTGCAATGAGTGTCGACAGCAGAAGGTAAGTCTAGCATATCACAAAAGTTCTCGGGCTTCTTTTAGTTTGACTAACTTTTTTCGGATTGCGACAGCTCCGATGCGATGTCATTCAAGACCCATGGACCGATTGTTCGAGATGCCGTCGACTGAGGCTCGATTGTAAAATTGAGTCCAACTTCAAACGTGTTGGAAAGCGCAGCCGCAATGCGGAAATGGAGAGGGAGATCATGGAGCTTAGGAAGCAGATTGCTACTGGCCAACCAGTCCCTGGGATGTCACAGCAACAAGGGTTGCCTGCAGGGCAATTGACGCCCAAGCAAGACTCGAGTCAAGTCAGTCCTGCAGTTTATCAAACCCCATCTGCCATGTCCGCAGATCAGTACATGGGATCTCAAGAAGCTGTTGCGTCCCTCCTGGACCTTCGTTCGGGCTTCGATGGTGCCAGCTTCATGAGGAATGGTGGACAAATCAGACGAATTGAGGATGTTATGGTTGTTCCCGAGAAAGTGACGGAACTGTTTAACATGTGAGTCCTTATCTCTGAAGCCTCTGTGATTGATCTGACTTGTTCCTGTCAGATTCTTCACATATTATCACCCCTTCCTTCCATTTTTGGACAGAAATCAATCTTCCGACGATTATCATAATTCTTCTTCGTTGCTTTTCTGGACAATCCTCAGTGTCGGTGCGCGACGCTATCAAGGCGATTCAAATTTGCTGAATTCTCTCGCTGGTCCTGTCACCCGGCTGGTCTGGAGTACTCTAGCAGATATTCCTCAAAGTTACCATGTCGTGAAGGCGCTCGCTCTACTGTGCTCATGGCCGTTCCCCACCAGCAGCACCTCAACAGATCCGACCTTTATGCTATGTGGAATGATGGTACAGGTTGCTATGCAGCTTGGCCTCCATCGGCCTTCTCACACTCAGGACTTTAGTAAATTCCGAGTGGAGTTGATCGAGGATGAATTGAGAGACAAGGTGCGAACTTGGGCGATTTGCAATATTGTTGCTCAAAGGTGTGTAAAAAACCATGATCAATTGCTGCTCGCCTTTGTCTCACGTTTTCCTTTGCAGAGTTTCCACCGGCCATGGACAGCCATCATCTACTCTTTACGACTGGACATTGTCCTCAAGCGATTCGCTAGACCCCAACTTCAAGCTTCCTGAAGACATAAAGCGAAGATTGGAGATTGAAAAGTTTTGCGACAGGGTCACCCGAGCACTTTACACAAATCGACGCGATCCTGTAGGTTTAACTAACGACCATGAACGCTCAACAATGATTGCGTTTCTGTCGCGAGACTTTGAGGAGCTGGAAGAACAGCTTAACCCGCAGAATGACTGTAAGCTTCTGAAGTTCAAATGGGGATCTAGCGAATGTATGGCTAACGACGTCCAGGTATTACTGACTTGTTTCTCCGTGCTGCTAACCTTCATTTGCACCTTTCGGCATTCTTCGACGAACCAACCACTAAAAATTACCGCGAACGCGTCCTATCTCTATATGTCGCGACGACATCCTTTCTCGAGGTTGTCCTGAACCTCGAGACGGAGGTTGGCCCGGTTCTCTCTTACACCCCATACTATGTCTATCAGATGATGGTTGCCGCTGGCTGCACTCTTCTCAAGCTGTGCAAGAGCTTCTTCGCCTCTCATATAGACATGGATTACACCAAGAACCTCTTCAATCGTACAATCTGGGCCATCCGGGGGGTGTCAGCATCCAGCAACGACCTACCCGAACGGCTTGCTGAAGTGTTGGCCCAGATGTGGAGATTGGGAGGAGCGACGCAACGGGCTAATAATAGTACCGATGTTGACGACTCCCTGCGACTCAAAGTACGCTGCCGGATGAGCATGTCCCTACTTTTCGACTCAGTGTGGCGCTGGCGGGAGGATGCCAGGACCAAGGGCCGAAACATTGAAGGTCAGTATCCCCTCGCACTCCTCGGAAAAAAAAAAAATGTCTAACTTTGTATTCTAGCCTATCTCAAAAACCCAACTAATCCCGACTCGGCGGCCGATTCTTCGGCCAATTCATCTGTCGGGCCTATACACACATCTACAATAACCCCAGGAATGTCTGGGAATGATCCAAGTCTTGCCCCGGCACCTCTTCTATCCCAGGCTAGTCTTGGGATCCAACCACCCTCAACCCAACCTAACGGGCTCCCAAGTGGTTTCATTGAACCTAACTATGAAGTCTTCGATCCGTTGAACTGGCTACTTGACGGCCTGGTAGACTTGCCTTATTCATACTCTACCATGGGTGGGATGGAATCCCAGGGCATCGCATAGATTGACTTGCCTAACATGTTCTTGACGTTAATGCCGGTGTTTTACTTTGTTTTATTTTCTGCGGGCGTGGCTTGCATTGTCTGCTTGTATCATTATACCACACATTCGATCGCTGATACTTGCCAGGGAGTTTGCTCATCTTCTTGTACTTTCCATGTCCGTTTACTTTTATTATGGGTCCCATGTACGATTTCCTTGATTCATTTCCAATACGATGCTATATTCTTTTTCCGACATGATACTACAAATTAACCCAAAATCCTTGTCTGAAACCCGATGCGTCAGAGAGTAGCCTCATGCAGTTGTAAAGTCCATCAAGTCCAGTGCATACTGTGCGTATATCACACCGAGCTATTTTTGTCGCATCTTTTTGCACAGATTCGCTCCGCAGAAGCAATTGCAACCCTAACCCGGTGATATCCTTGCTTTTCTCTCATCACATCATTTTTTTCTGGACGAAGCCTATATAATCTCGGTCATCCTGATCCTTCTGGGCCATTTCTTCTCTTCCCCATTCCTTGGATCAAATGGCTTTCCTTTATATCCTCGGTTGGACCAAGGTGGACCCTCGCATTTCGGCTATAGTGCTGTGCCTTCTTGTTTCCGTTCTCTTTTGCTCTGTGATTGCGGCTGCTTTGGTGTTGACTTCCTGCCTCGTGGCTAACGTTGGTGACCTCCCTCCAGATGTGAAAAGTTGACCACAGTACCAAAATTCACCAGATGCTGATGCAATTTGGTCAACCGCCAGAGCCACATTCCTTTCCCTGTACGCAAAAAATATTCCTCGATCTTATACCAGCAGTACAAGTTTGTCGTGGACGGGCCTAGTTCGATACAGAAGGGCTATGAACAATTCGCAAAAGGCTTGTTCGAGATCCCACGGACATTCCGCTTTGGTCAGGTCATACTATGCCAGCCGGAGTTGATTGAAGAACTACGAAATCAACGGAATACTCTTGTATCCCCCGAGCCGTGGATTGATCAGGTAGGGCTATCGGGAGAAGTCTCCAAGTTGAGACTAACCAATATCACACAGCTCCTCCAGGTCTCTCATGTAATGCCTGGCTATTTTCCCAAGGGAATGGGATGGCCAAAAATTGCGAAGACTACACCTGGTTTGATTCGTGCTACGGTTTACAAGCACTTGCATCGGTATATGCCCGCTATGAATCAAGCAATTCTCTCGCAGCTGCAGACCCTAGACTTCAAAGATGGGGGTAAGTTTTGACGACTGAATAGGATATTGTTTCTAATGCCTTCGACCAGAATGCAACGTCGGCTGTTTTGATTTGGCATACTCGATCGTAGCCCGCAGTGGCAGCTTTGCTCTTGTCGGCTCGCGGCTCTCTCAGAATGAGGAATATCTTGAAGCTGTCAAGGACCACATCCTTGGGATGATAGTCACCACTCGTGTGCAACTCCTTGTTCCAGATTTCCTGAAATCGTGGGTAAGATGCTTCGTTGGTTTTAATTCCCGTGGACTGAGAGACAAAATAGTTACATTGGTGGCATCATCGGTCGACTCGCCACTCTTGGGACTAGTTGGAATATGCACGCTTCGCGTAAGATAATGCTCAAGCACTTCGATGCACGTGCAGCAGAATATCACACCAAGATATTCGGTGGCAACGGACCCAGTGAATCCAATCTCGATGACCCGGACAATCCAGTATCCCTGCCTGCCCTTCACCCTCCCTTCAATCACGCCATGACTGAACAACCTATAGGTTGAAATCTTCCAATGGCTGTATGAGAGCAGTGTTCTTCGGGAGCGATGGACATATGCAGAGGTGATAGGTGAAATGTTGCTTCTGCAATTTGCTTTTATCTATACCACGTCCTATGTAGGCACTCCGTACGCATGTCATGGTCCTGCGATCTACTAATTTCACCGCCAATAGGGACTCTACAGCGCCCTCGTGGAATTAGCTCGACAACCCGAATACATTGCACCTCTGCGTAAGGAAATTGATCTGATTTTCTTTGAAATGGGACCCACGGTTCCGGCCTGTGATGGCATGGTTTTGATGGACAGCTTCTTGAAGGAGTGCCAGCGATTGCATCCCCCTTCAGCACGTACGTCTATATGCAATCATCCATGGGAATTTTGCATGGCTAATGCAATAATATGGATACTAGTCTCTGCCCATCGGGTCTGTATCAGTGACCTCAAACTTTCTAATGGTTCGTCCTCGCACACACACACTACCAGGCTACCAAGGAGACATTGAGCTGATCAAGGGTGGAATCACACAGATATCACACTCAAGCAGGGCTCCCATGTTGCTGTCCCAAGTGGAATTATCCAACGATCCAGCGAACACTATGCGAACCCCGACGCGTTCGACGGCTTCCGATTCGTAAAGCGTGCAGCAGCTGGAGCCAAGGACTCCCGGCTTGTCGACCTGAGTCCTGACTATCTGGTTTTTGGAATGGGCGCACATGCCTGGTAAGTCTGATTTCTGCCTAGCCCTTTTTGTTTTTGATCTTCTGGTTTCAAATCCAACTGGCCGGGTCCTATCGGCTGACTGTTGCTCGTGTTTGTAGCCCTGGACGATGGATGGCTAGCGCGCTCATGAAGCTCGCCTTCGCGCATATCCTGAATCAGTGTGACATACTCCTGCCTGATTCAGGTTCCGTACCCTTGACTGGCTCGCTTTCATTCGAGGAGTTTTACGTGCCCAACTTCGGGCTGAAGATTGCTCTGCGCAAGCGCTAATAAGGATATCTTATTGGGGACCAGGATGTCTGGGCACAGATAGAATTTTGATCAAGTTTCGACCGGAACACATTCATATTAATCTCAAATAATGCAGTGCTAAAAGCATCGACGTGAAACATGCACCAATTCTTCCCTTGGCGCAAATCACTGTCCGATAAGCTGATAAGATCTCAACTCCGCCTATCTCCGACTGATTCAACTTCACCTCTTCATCGTTTTCCCTACATACCTGAAATTGGTTCGATATCATGGCTTCATCAATCTCCTCCCAGAAATCTCGGTCTCGGCTCATCCCATACAAGCGCGCTCTTCTACCCCCACGAACCAAAAAGCCAGGCCCCAAGGCATACAAAGTCCTCAATCCTAGCGCCATCCCCGCAGAGACGAGCATCAAAAAATCATACGAAGAGGTCAATCAAGAGAGAAACAAGTCCACGAGCTTAAGTGGGCATAGCAAAAATATCTTTGAAGACAAAGAAGAATACGAGCCCCAGACCCCGTGCTTTCAAGTTTCATTCTCGATGCCGCCACAGCCCTTCCTCGATCCACCGACCTGGGAAGCGATGCTCAAACACAGCCGCGAGAGATTAGCAATCCAATCATTAAAAGACGAATCAGGCTCAGGTATTGATCGGGAAGATGAATCGGTAGAACGGACGAGACGGCGAGTGGAACGCGAGATGGAGTATGGGTCTATGGCAATCCGGGGCCGGTCGAGTGTACGTGGACGTGGGAAGGGGGGAAGGGGGAGAGACAATGTCTACTGGGGTGGTAGATATTGACCTTGATGGGTTTGTGATGAGCTGGGTGTCTTTGAGGTCCCCCATATTTGGTTGATAGGCCATATGTGACCCATTTGAATGGCCAGCTACCTTGTAAAACACACAGGCTTCATTGTTCAAACAACATCCTAAATTTCTTTCTAGAATTTCTTCGTTTTGCTCTCATAAAGTACATCCAAGTGTGTGCTTTTGTACTAATACACTATTTGATGAAATCATTTATATCCCCTGGAGCCAAGAGATGATTGCTTCATAGGCCATGTCACACAACGTGAAAGCAAGGGGGCAGTTTGGAACGCTGATTCAGTCTAGGACTGACGAACAGGTGGGAAATCGATACGGATGTATTTCACAATAAACAAATCAAGTCAATGGTACATCTGAGAAACCAACAAAGGTTGAGGCAAAGGAACGAAATCACTGGAATCATCATCGTAGGTTCACGTTTCATGATCATCATAGATCGCATGTCAAAAGGTCATCTCGGGGCATCGAAGCAATTTCAGAAACCCCCCAAAAAGCAAATGCATCATGAAATCGTCGGGCAAGTGTTTGAGACGCGTGAAACATATCCAATCATAAAAAAAAAAGCGAAGAGCAGAGAAGATGCTGGAAAAAAAAAGGACAACATTCAAGTCATTTATCTCATGGCCACCTCAGCTGTAACACTAGATGCCACGTAGACCGGGCCACCGATACTCCGCTTGAGGAGTTCCCTCCGGATAGCCCGTTTTCTCTCGTCTCGTCGCAGGCGCACACGCCGTATGCGATTCCGCAAAATGCGCCATGGCATTGACTGGCGCCGCAGTCCCCAGCGAGAGAGAGACTGGAAGCGAGTCGAATTTAATGGCGATCCTGTTCGGAAAATGCCGTGATCAACCAAGCTACCGTTGCTAGTCATTTCATTGAGCAATCGTTTCATTTCTGGGCTGCGGCGCGCCAAAGCAGGCGGACCGTCGAAGATGATGCGCCGGTGGGGCATGCCCAGAGAGTTTTTCACAATCAAGGATTCATCGCGGCGCGCTAAATCTTCCCGCGTCGGCGAGCGCTCTTTCTCTGGGGATCCGGATATGCCTTCCCAGAATGGGCGGGGCCGCCAGAACGGATAAAGACGACTGTCTATATCCATACCTGCGGTTCGGTTCTTGGCGGATTTCATGGAGAGTGACCGCGCTATAGCATTAAAGGAATCCGAGCCAGGTTGTGTGCTCCACGTACGACGGACGGAATTCCTTCGTCGACCGCGGCCTTTGCTTTCATCTTGGGCGTCATGTAACGGAAGTGGGGGAAGAGGTCTGGCGGATGGGGGCTTTGGGGGAGGACGCGGGTTCTCCAAAGGCGAGTCGAAATTGAACGTCGCTGTCTGCAATGGATTGTCGGGTGTACGAGGGGGTTGGGGAAGATCACAAGAAGTCCCAAGAGCTTGCAAAGGGCGCCTCGGGGAGGCTTCCACACGAGGGTCAACAAGAAGCAGGGAATGATTGTTGTGTGTGGTCAGGCTGACGGCTGTAGCCTCTTGAATTTCGATAGGCCCCGGCGAAGACGATGGAATGGAACCTTGGGTGAAAGGCAAAGATGGAGGACGCAGGGTTGCCATATCATCGGGGCTAGCAAAGACGGCGTGCATATTGGGAGCCTCGAGGAGGGCACGGCTGTTGGGCGAAGCCAAACCTTGGCGACGAGGCAAGGATATAGGCTGATTCTGACGACCCTTTTGCGTCTCGAGGTCATTGGCTAAGTCATGGCTTTGTAGACTGTCAGAAGTAAGGGAAGTTGCACAAGAATTGTTCCGACTCGTTGACGCAGAAAGTGTCGAGCCTCGGCCTAGTATACTAGGACGTTCCGTGGGGCGACTTCGCAAACTATTGGAAGTAAGAGAAGTTGCGCAAGAATTGTTCAGACTCGTCGGCGCAGAAAGCGATGAGGCCCGGGGAGGAATAACAGGCGGCCCTTTGGCACAACCCCTGAAATCGACCTCGCGAGACCGAGTCGACACTGAATCAGGGACGGTGTGTTTCTTCTGCCCTGGGATATCTGAGTGGCTCGTTGATGATATCGGGGGACGACGGCTTGATCGGTGAGAACCCAGTTGGGAAGAAGCATGACTATTAGGATGGGACGTGAGAGATGAATTTCTCTCTGGTATGACAACCACGTTGATAGTTTCGATACCGGACTGTATTGCATTGTTGCTAGTCTTGGCCGAGAACGACATCTCGGATGTACCGCTTCGAACATCCTGATCAGAAATGCGAGCTGCCTTGTGAATCAGGCGGTGTTGGGATTCATGGATGGAGCCATAAGTTGTACACTCAGGTATGGTGATGGGAGATCTGGCAGACCGCAGAGAGCTATTCTTTTCGGTATGCCGGAGCATTGGCTGGGCCCGTTTGGGAGAATCGATTATCATAGCCTCAACGGTAGATGTTGAAGAGATGATTGACAAAGGACGGGCGTCTGTTTCACTGTGTCCTGCTAGGCTCTCCAGTGATGACGACCCAATTTTCTCACGGAGCTGTTCCATTGAGGGGTCTGCTTTGACTTCATGCGCACTGTTGGCACTGTCCTGCAGACTTTTTTCCCTCATCAAAGAGGCATCTATGTGCTCTACATCCAGCACATCTCTTTGAGGGGTTGGGTCATAGACTAGCTGAATGTGGTTCTGTGCAGACTTTTGCTTTCCAGCTAACGGTGTTAGGGACCCATCAATCGGGTTTGCGGCCCAATGCCCATCAAAAAACTCGAAGCCAGCGTCGCCTTCAGTTTCGCCATGCCGTTGGAAAAAGGACGGCGGAGAATGTTTTATATTTGAAGTTTGTGGAAGTTGTCCATTTAAAGTCGGCGGCTTTGATGGTTGCCTACTTTGTTTGGGGGCCTGGGTTGCGGTCTGGGACGTACGAACCGGGATGTCCGTATCTTCTTTCAATGAGATATTCTCCAAGGCCGTTTGAAATGAATCGGTTCGAGACGACGAGGAGAAACAACTGCTCTGGTTCAAGTAAGGTCGCTTGTTTGAGTTCGTTCGAGGAGGCGTCACATCCGGGGTTGGAGGCTTGGAGGGTTGGCGAGGGGTCAATACCCTAGATGTTGGCATGTCTGGCAAAGAAGTTTTCGTCTTCTGAGGTGTTCGTTCGTCTACCACGAGTTCTTCATGACCTACACCCGGGGGTGTCAAGGGAAGCGACGGCGTCGTGGCATGTCTCCCATTTTGATCAGTTTGATCCGGAGAGACCGGTTGGATGACTTCGATGCTAGAAGTGATTTCACCCCGCCGAGTGAGCGTCTTGTGAGACCTTGAAGGTGGCTGTTCGAATGCTTGCAAATCCTCCGATGACCCCATCATTTCCACGCCTGGCATCTTGGAAACAACACACTGACGGAGACGTGAAGCATCCGCAGTCGCTTTTATGAATTTGTTTAACGTTTAGATACCTTTCAGTATCATAATACTGAGTAGGAAGTCTTGTTCAGGGTGTTGGAAGGGTCGCATCGCGCGCGAGCACTTCACGACCAAGATGCAACCAATTATTCCAAGTCAACAGATTTAAAAGCCTAAAGGCTTTACTTTGTTTCTGTATGCTGCGGAGGGGGGGGGGGTGGGGGGGGATCGTCTGAGGTGCATTCAAGTCCGTCACAAATGACAACCAATGCATCAGCACGAAGTACGGAACATGGGCACGTGCTTTTGACAGATGAAGACTCCGGCTCGGTTTATTTCTGTGCAAAGTGAGCTGAGCTGTCAGGGTGGGGATGGTCAAGATTGGCGAGTGGCTGGGTAGTCTAGTCTCCAGCCCTTTTGTCACCGCATTTTAGTAAAGTATGAGGCAATAAAGAACAGTCATTCAAATAATACCAGATAAGGAATTAGAAAAGAGTACATTGTTCACAATTCAAAAATACTCGCAAAGGTTGAAAGATGTGACGAAGGGTGTCCAAGTGTTTTCGCGCCACCGTTTCCCGCTGTCGAGCGCCTTTCCTATTCAGGTAATATTGATGCCTTGTAGCCTCATCTCATTGAGATACTCCTCACACTGCAGATTAATCACCCTAACTTCTAGCTTTTAAGGTCCAATCTTGCCTTGGCCTGGAATTGATCTCTTGTCGAGGCTAGTTTAGTGATATAAATCCATCCTTGAATGTTAATCAAAGGTTGGTTACTACATCCTACAATCGCGATGTATCTGATCGACCTCATCTATAAATCGGCGCGATATGTAGACGCTGGAGATGAAATGTGTCAGCATTCCTCGGGCATGTGGCTTGAGATCTCATGTTTCTACTATAGCCCTTACCTAGTATGTTTGGACCTTGATCTAGGTCTCAAATACATGCACGTTTCAGTCCGGTAAAGGCATACGATGCACAACCTTACTGAGGACATAGATAAGAAATCCTCTATGGATCTCAAGTAGCCCAGCATAGTGTAGTGTCTTATGGAGTAATGGCGTAAATAGGGATAAAATAGTGATTCATTGCATGGTCTTCGACGCAACACAATTCTAATTCCTGTTCCAGCTGTTCTTATATTCCGATCCTTAATACTTGACTAACCGTCTCTTGGACATGTGGAGGCTTCTTTCTTCCTTTTTGGTGAGTCTAATTTCGGGGCCAGAACTTACATTTGAAAGTGTGTACCCCGTTGATCTTGTACTGCGAATACATCTTGGGTGAGGGTAAGAAGATCGTTGGACTTTCAAAGAACTAAATGGGGTTTGAGACTCTATCCTATGTGGGAAAGTCTTTACTTGCCATCGATTCATGCCATTGGGTCTGTGTAGGCACTATTTATCAGAACTCTTGTATTCTTTAAAGGAACGTGAGTTGATGAAGAATCTAACTCCATAGCTTCGCAATCAGCCAAGAATCAGGTTTCCCTAATCAAAGATCCGTCGGGTAGGTTCCGCCACTATGTGATAGAGAAAGGGAGTTGTGAAGGCGGAGCCGATTGTCATTTTATTAGAGTACATGCTGTAATTAACAAGCTCACGTTAGGTAGAATAGATTCTACAAGTGAGATTGATGTTAGCAGAAGAGATGGTTCAATCTGGCAGCACTAACCCTCGGTGCAGGAGAGAAGGGCCGTTGGCTAATCTCTAGATAGTTACTAAGCACGGCGTTAGGCACGGCCAGGGCTATGATGTATGTACCTGTTGGCCTCATTTAGTAGTTGCTCTTACATGGCTTGATCTAGATGACCATGTGAAGTCGGCCAAATTGAAACTGTCGGCTCCCATATGTACATAGATAGGACTCCGTCTCATATATCTGCGCAGTCCTCCAGGTCGGTTTGTTTGCTCTCGCAGATCAAGCATTCCAGTGAAGGGTTGAGATTTAGATCTACATTTCGTGGCTCTCCGTGAGAATTGGAGACTCAAAGCTTGGCAGATATTAAAAGAGCGGGCAATACATATTATCACAGGAGAAAAGCAACGCGAATCTATGAATCGGGAGTTCCTATAGTTCCAACAATTCCAAGCATGTGGCAACGGATGATGACGGTATAAATCCCCACACAAGCCAGGGTTTAAAGACTTTTGGAATCAGGCCAAACCAGCATTTTTGTACAAAAGGTTCACCTTGATAAGGTAAGATGCCAGGTATGTTCCCAGAAAATAGAGAATGGCCTATAGAAGTTAGGCGTTGAGCGTCTCGTCTCTGGCTGCTCAGTGGCTTCAGATCCGAGGTATCTCTGGGATAGTTATCCTATAAAAAAAACATTCTACGATACTATACAACAAGAGATTAGAATCAATATAGATCATTACCACGGTGGATCAGTGGCGTGAACCATGACGTCCCGAGAGGTCGAACCAGGAAGTCTGTCGGGTCTTGGCAGATGACATCGCAGGGAAAGATCTCATTTCGTCATAGCTCTCCCCCGCCATCATCTCGTTCCTTTCTCTCCTTTTCTTTTCTTTTTGATCTGTAGTTGTGTGGTCTTGATTTCTCTCTCTCTCTCTCTGTAATTTTCTTGTTTTGTGATTAAGTCCTCCAGTGGGGTAACTCCATTTCTCAATTTGTCTGAAACGCTTCCACACCTTGAAAATCCCTTCAATCGCCGACATCTGTTATCCTCTATCTCTCTGTTTCCCATTTGTCTCCGAAACTAACCTAGACACCTGTTCATGAATCACGATTTATCTTCGAATCATGAGTACAATACAGAATATCAAGAACTTTATTCGGCATGGCAAGCAAGCCCGCCTTGTCACCCCTCACTCTGAGCCGACGACCGACGTTTCCACCATCCATGCAGAGCCACAACGCCAACCGATGGGCCAATATTCACCCTCTCTCGAGGCTTTTGGCCCTGAGGGCCGAGCTAATGCTCTTCACAAACCCGATTCTCAGATCAGGCAGGATCGCTCTGTCGAAATCGAACGTCTAGTGGCAGAGGAGAACATGAACCGATCAAAGATGCCCAAATACCCTGGTCTCGAGCGCTGGATCTTAGTAGAGAAGATGGGCGACGGCGCTTTCAGCAACGTCTATCGTGCCAAGGATTCGACCACGGAATATGGCGAGGTGGCCATCAAGGTCGTCCGCAAATTTGAAATGAACAGCAATCAGGTAGGTTCTGCCACAAGGTGCCTTTCTTCTTCTCTTCCCTTTGTTTTTGTGTTTGCGCTTTCTCGTGGTTGCATGGTTTCCAATTTGTATATCAACTTGGCCAATACGTTCGGTAGAATGATCATAACTATCCAAGGGTCAAAAAAGTCCCCAAGGCAGCGGAGGTGCGCAAACCACTCTTTCCTGACACTCGATTGGCAACGGTGATTTGCGTTTGCCGGCGAAACGAGATACTACCTAATGGCATTTCTTTTGCCGTTGCGCATGGCTGCGCATCTTATTTCATCATTGCTGACTCTAGTCTTTTTAATAGCGGGCAAATATCCTCAAAGAAGTTCAGATTATGCGCAATCTTGACCATCCAAACATCGTCAAATTGATCGATTTCTCCGAGTCTCGACAATACTACTACATCGTCCTCGAACTCTGCCCCGGGGGTGAATTATTCCACCAAATTGTCCGACTGACATATTTCAGCGAGGATCTAAGTCGTCACGTCATTCGCCAGGTTGCAGAAGCGATTGAATATCTACACGAGACCTCAGGTGTCGTTCATCGGTTTGTCAGCCCGTCACTAGAAAAGTTGCCCTTACAGAAGCTAACATCTTTATTAAGTGATATCAAACCGGAAAACCTCCTGTTCTATCCAATTTCCCACGTTCCCAGCAAGGATCCCAAACCTCAACAACCAGGGGATGAAGATAAAGAAGATGAGGGAGAATTCATTCCGGGAGTTGGTGCGGGTGGTATTGGCAAGATCAAGCTCGCAGACTTTGGTCTATCCAAGGTGATTTGGGATAGCCAGACGATGACTCCTTGCGGTACCGTCGGATACACAGCCCCAGAAATTGTCAAGGACGAGCGTTACTCTAAAAGTGTGGACATGTGGGCCATGGGTTGTGTGCTCTACACACTTCTCTGTGGGTTCCCTCCGTTCTATGATGAAAGCATCCAAGTCCTTACCGAGAAGGTGGCACGCGGCCAATACACCTTTTTGTCACCTTGGTGGGACGAAATTTCCAAGTCGGCACAGGATCTGATCTCGCATCTCCTCACCGTGGACCCCGAGAAGCGATTCACCATCAAAGAGTTCCTCGCACACCCCTGGATACAGGGTACTGACGAGGAGACTACCGCCGCTGCAGATGCACCCCCTCTGGCAACTCCCTACCTCCAGACCCCCGAAAAAGGCCCACAGCAACTCGACTCCGCCAGCGCCGAACACGGGCCCTACCAACCCGCCAGTGCCCGCATCCTCGATCATCCCTCCGTCATAGCAGAGCGCCGCATGGACTTCCGATCTCCAGGCGCTTTCAACCTCCGTGAAGTATTTGATGTCGGATACGCAGTGCACAGACAAGAAGAGGAAGGAAAGCGCCGCGTGAACGCGCGTCAAACCAACCGCAGTGGTACGGCAGGATTCCAGTCGGCACTTAGTGCTCTCAACGAAGATTATGATGATGAGCCCGAATACAGCCACCGTCTCGGAGGCCAACCACCAGCCAAGGTGGCCAAGAACCAAGGGGAGATGGCCGGAATGGAAGCCAAGCTCCGATCTACGAACCTCGGCACCCAAAGTAGCGCCGCACAGGCACGACAACCACCCCACCAGCCAAAGCCCAAACAGGGCTACGGGATGCATGATGCCAATGTCGCCAATGCTGCAAGGAGCTCTATTCGCAAGCATCAGCAGCCGTTTGAGCTTACCCTGACCGGTTCCACATTGCTTGAGAAGCGAGGTCGTCGTAATCAACCGGTGGCATAGACGGGATGTACTTCTTCCATCAGGGTCATGATGTGATGTCTTCATAACTTCTTTGCGCTTTGTTGATGAGCGATAATATCACTGGGAATTTATTCGGTTTCTGCGTTGTGCTTTCATGGCCTTTGTTTTTCTTCAACTTTTCTGCGCGTTATCGGATCGGTCCCGGCGAGGAACCTGCACGCTACATAGTCACGATTGGAAAATGGATGAAGTGGGTTTTCTTTTTCGCTTTCTCTTGAGTTACCGGGGAGCTTGCTTGGACTAGAATGGAGTTCTTTGTGGTCATTTCCTGTTTTTTTGCTGTCGTTATCATAGGGGCTACGTCCATTCATATCTTCTAAGGGTTTGCTAAGCATTTTATTCAACTTTCCAAGATCGAAGCCTTGGAAGAATTCATCTCTTTCACATAATCTTCCTTTAGTAGCAGACTAAAATTGGTCCTTTCATTTGCTTACTGATGCAGCGAACCTATTCCCGGCCGCTGCTGTCTTGTAGCCAGAGCACTCAGGGTTTCATTCCTACCAGTATAGATACAGACTGGTGGTAACTTCTGGTAAGCCAAACACACAATGTCGTTCACAGGATATGTGATACCTTGCATAGGTTTTGATTTGGAAGTATCTAAAATATCGAAATCCAACTGAGAATTAAGAAAGATAAAACACAAACGTGGGTATCTCGATTGGTATCTCATGTATGTTCAAGTTCAGTGGCCACCTGGGAATGGCCACTGCATTCTGATATATGAAGGCAACACTCTAACCAGTCTACATGTCCCCCGAGTGATTTGAGCAAATGGCAATCCCATGACCGAATCATTCAAACCGTAATTGTAAAAGGACGACTCCGTGATAATTAGATGTGCTGTCCTTTTTGGTCGTGTCTTCATCTTGTACTTTCCAATACAAGGAGAAGGCTGTGTGAAAATTGACAGTTTGCAAGCCAATTTTGGCAAACCGAAACACGAGTTAACTCGCTGCTTCTTAAAGTGTCTGCTTGCCCCGTGTCTCGATGGGTAGGAGACACATAGCCACAAAGGAAGCCAGAATCAGCGCGCCGGACGCGTAGATGGGCGAGTTGGGGTTCGCACTGCCAGTGTAGATGGCGACGAGGGGAGCACAGAGACCAGCGATACGGTTAAGGCAGCTGGAGATACCCGTGCCAGTGCCGCGGTTAGGGGCGGGGAAGGTCTCGGGGGTATAGGCGAACAGGACACCATACATGATGTTCTGGAAGGAGGCCTCAAGACAACTGCACAGGAGCTGGATGTCGGAGTTTGTGGATGCGGTGAAGCAAAACAGCAACACACCGGTGATCAGGGCGGAGATGGCCATGGTGCCCTTACGACCAACGTACTTGAGCTCAACTGTCCAGCAAGCCAACACAGAGCCAGGAAGACCAACGATGGAAGTGATGGCATAATTACGGTAAGTGATGTAGTTCGAGTTGGTCTCGCCACCGGATTGGGAGAGGTACTGTGGCAGGAAAGCGTTGAAGAGAGGATAGCCCATGCCGATAGTGGCCCAGCAAAACCAGAGCAGAGTGGTATTCCACCCCATGCGCTTGTTGGAGAACAGGGGAGCAATGCGCTCCATTGAGAATTTGGAGAAGAAACGGCTCACGATTTGAGAGTAAGTGAGCCCTGTCTCTTTTTCGTGTACCTCGACATGACCACCGATTTCGTTGAGGATCTCGCTGGTCAACCAGGTCTTGGCACCGTTCTTGTGGGCAATGCCATGAATCGAGGCGACGGCTTCTTCCTGGCGGCCACGGGAGAGCAGGAACTTGGGTGACTCATACAAATGGAAGAAGAAGAAACGCAGAATAAACATGACGAAAGTGATGGCACCCAGAGTGAGGACCAGGTAGCGCCAGCCCATGTTGTTCTCTTTGGTGCAGCCTTCACGGCTAGTGCAACTGAAGTTGGGGATGAAAGCCCACGCAAGCAGACTGCCAATCAGCTGGCCAACGGGCCACCAGACGCTTAGCATTGTCAACATGTTGCCAGAGACAAAGGGGAGGAACTCCAGGAAAAGAGCACCGTCGACAGGCAGGTTCCCCCCCACACCAAGACCCAAGCAAGCAAACAGAGCACATGTTCTGCCTTGATGATCAGCGAAAGGTACAAGATCGTTGTTTTCATAAAATTTACCCAATCCAAGTGGGACCGCCACCCGCAGCCAGACCAAAGGCACCAGCCATGAATAGAGTAGTGTTGAAAGCAAGACGACGACCAACAATATCAGAGGCAATACCCCAGAATGAGGCACCGATACAGAGACCCAAGAATAGAGCACAAGTAGTGAAACGTACCCACGTGTCGGAGAGTCCAAATTCGTAGGAGATGGGTGTTAGCGTCAAGGCAACTCCCTATACATGGTTAGATCTGATCCCTTGTGATCTCTTTGATTTTGAGCTCCCTACCTGAAGCCAAATGTTGTCTGCTGTCCACCCAAAGCCACAAAGAAAGAACAGTTCCCATTGATACCGGCCCATGCCAATATCTTGCAGGGCTCTGTTGATCACCTTTGCCTTGCCTGTGTAGTCGTGTTAGATCAACAGGCCAATCGCCTAAAGTGCTCACGCCGGGACTGGTACGAAAATGTGGAAGGAACATACGGTCATAGGTAGAGTCATGGGTAGAAGTGGAAAGATCAGACTCGATTTCTGCACGAAGAGCCTCGAGGGTCAGATGAGTTGAACCCTTGGAGCGGGCCGCACCGTTCTCCGAGGAGGATGCTCCATCCAAGCTCTGGTTGGACTCTTTGTCTGTCTTTTCCGAGAGGGAGTGGGCAGGTGCATCGGTGAGTGGAATGACAACGCTGGGCAAGTTTGGACTATCCTTTTTGAAAGGGTTCAATCTTTGAATTCCCATAATGATGGTTTTCAAATGGTGCTTTGGAATATGATTGCCTGGAATTTTCTGTTGTTTCTTGAATATGTCGCTTTTGGCACGTTCTATTCTGTTCAAGTGTCGCTTGGGGTTTCGTGAAAAGCCGAGGTTTGATCTACAGATGTGGGGAGCTGTAATGGGGTCATCTATTCTGAATCCGGGGGCAATTTTCTGTGGGCCGAAAGTGACGCAAGGACAATGATCGATATATACTGCTATTCAGACTTGCAAATGGGCTTGTCGCAATCGCTGTGGAAGAACTCTTTGTCGCCAGGGTGATGCAAGGTCACTTGCTACTGAAGTGCGAATCTGAAATACCTCGTGCTTGGCCTTTGAAATTGAGATCTTTTCACAAGGTGGTTATGAATGATCGAAAGGGTTAAGACCGCGCACCAGAAGTTCTGCCACTGAGATATTAGATCAAAAGCCAAGAGACGGATCTCTAGCAAGATATGTGAATGAACTAAGGCAAGCTGGGGGGTCCACCTTGTCTAAGATGATTTGAGAGGTTTTGAGAGGAAGTTTGGGAATTTACGGAAGAGGAAAGAAGAGAAAAATGGAAACCAAGTGGGATTCTAGAGCTGCTATATACTACAGAATCCCAAGAACAGGTTAGATCCTTCCATATCCTTCCTGTGGTTTTTTTTTCTTTCTCTTTTCCTTCTTTTTTTTAAATCCTAAATCCCTCTGTAGTACGAGTTGTCATCATTGGCCGAGGCCCGAGAAGCGGGACTGCAAAGATTGATATTCTGCAAATCGAATCCTAGGGAAAGGACTAGACCGGGGCGACTGAGGTACTCGAGTTCAATACTCCGTGCATCTGAACATCTTCCCTCGGTTTCCCTTGGCGAGTGCATATAACAGCGTACATTACTAGATCTTACAGGGTAACTTAGCACTAAACTGGACCTGATATGTTTTTGGCTTAGACACTACTAGCTGGATCTAATTCACCTAAGTACGTGACAACTAGTGTTACCCATCTCTCCTTGGTTTCCTGCAGTTTGGGCTTTAAGAGCTTTAGTTGAATCATATCTCCTAATACGTTGCAGTTTAATCGTGGCAGATTCAAACCGTCCTATTTGATGAAGTACCGGCAGGGTGGCCCCGAAAAAAAATAGGTCCCACTTGCACCGTGCTCCGGAGTACGAGGGCCACGCAGGCGTATTATATTAATAAAAATGGTGACTTTGGTTATGAATTCATAGCCGCACAGGGAATAGCTTAAAAAGAATCCCTAGTGACCCGTCAGTGGCTGACGTTGGCCGCTTTAACTTGTAGCACGGTCCTCCTAGTCGATCTAGACTTGAACGCTATCAAGGCAAATTCAACATACACACTATTCAGCCTTAGGGATCTTCACCTATTCTACATTCGTACCTTTCTGGCTACTCTGTGTGTAGCTCAGATGGTCCCATATAATTATCGGCATCTCATGTACCACATTTGAAAAAATAAAAAAAAAAAGTATACAATATACATCAGAAAGGGTTGAACCAATAGACAAACTTGATTCTGTACCTGAGCCGAGACCTCCTCATTGGCCTCTATGATCCACTGGCAAAAATTTGCAATACAAAGGAAGACCACTTTATTCGTCCTCTCTGCGGAGTCTGGAGGGCCTGTCTTATTTGGGGCAAAGTACGAAGTAATGAGATCAAGAAACCGCATGCATGTTCGGAATGTGATCCCTATTCTTTGATCTTCTCGCCTCTTTCCTAAGATGAACAACATATTTTTGGTGGTTTTGGTTTTGAATTGATCCATTTGAATGACCATCGAAGATCCTGTGAAAAACAATCAACAAGTAATATAACGTTGTCGAATTAGAGGAGAAATAAAAAGGTTCTCACGTTGAAGGCCTTGCGTCTTGGCGGCACATCTATGCCGCATTCAGACCAGGGGAATTCGCCATTGCGAGCCACTCACAAGTCTTTAAATGCTTCTGTAACCTCCTGTAACCTTCCCAGGGCCCAAGCACGTACTTCTTGCATAAATTACTGCCATTTGCCATTTTGGGGGTAAGCCTGGTGGTACGGTCTAATCCACATCATTGGCTTTCATTGGCTTTCATTGGCTTGCCGGCAACTGCCAACTTGGAGAGATTCTTTACCAGGGAGAGTGACTATCGGCTATGGTACTTGGCGAAGACCCTCAAAATCCGGTTGTTTCCTTTAACCGTGCAGAGTGGAAAGTCAATCCGAAAACGGGGAAGTCCAGGAATATTCAACTCCAGGGGGTCTCTTTTCCCTTTACTCAATGCCTTAGGTTGGACTAGTCCAAGTTCTATGTATGTTGTAGATTGCATCGGAACTCCCCCCGACCCGGTGTCTTGGCGATCCAAAGAGGTCTCTGGGCTCCGAGGAATCGAGTGAACCACATTGTCGATAAATTCTCCTTTGGGGGTCAAAGCTCTCGATTTGTAGTATTTCGTTTCCACCAACGCGATCCGGTAATTGTTGCCTCCGCTGAAGATGCATTGCTCGGGAGCATTGTGCTCGTAAGAGAGTGGATTTGAGAGCACCCATGTTGGACTCCGTACATATTTTTGGACATGGTACGTGGTGGGACCTTTGTCATGTGTGAACTGGCCCGCACTGCTGGAGCACACCACTTGGAGGCAGATTCGATATCCACACGAGCCAGGGGGGTGTGCGAGATTCCTCTCAGCTACACAAAAGTACGTTACAGGACACTGCAAGAGATAGCAAGTGCTTTGCAGCATGCCATGGAAAAATAAAACCAAAGGTCATAAATGGCGTCAGATCGGGTGCAAGACTAACAGGAAGCAGATCCTAGGCTCGTCGATATTCATTTCTATAGATAATGAAGGCCCTAACCGGGGGACGATGGTGGGGGTTCATGACAATCATTGGTATGGGTCCCCTCACTTTGTACAACGTCCCAAAAAATAACCATTTCGTTCGGCAAAGAGAAAGCTATACATCAATCCATCTTCACCGAGATTCATTCACTCTCACTCGGTGAGCTATCATCGAGTGGACATTGATTGCGGATTCCTCCGTTGCCAGTCAGACACTAGAGTTCCTCAGTCCGTCTGAGCAGCCATTCAAGGTGACGGAAGGACACGCGAGGCTGGTACTGCGGTTGCATGTGACCAGACTGGTAAGTCTGAGCCCACATCAGGCCACGCTCGTAGTGCTGAATACCCATGACACCCTGAGGGCCATCGATACCGGTTTCACCATTCTCCGCAAAGATATTGGCGTACATGAGATCCGGAATTTGGATATCGATGGGTTTGTTGGGCGGATTCTGGAACCCGAGATTGCCGTTCCAGGTCATGTTTTGGATAGCCAGAAGCGTACCGTTGGTGAGGACGACCATATCAAAGTCCCCGTTTGCAACGAGAACGCGGTTAGTAGCCTCGATAACCTGTGGCAAGACATGCTCGATCGGGTTCGCCGAAATGTCACCTTCTTGCTCCGGGCCGGAGTCACCACCGACGAACACGGGCTCATTGGAACATTCGGTCCAGGTCTCGTTGGGTGCGTGGAGCGCTCGCTTGACATCGGCGCGATCAAAGTAGACGCTTGATCCAGGTGCTTGGTAGTCGAGTGAGGTGGGGAAGGCGAGAACATCCCAGAGCAGCGGGCACATCTGGTTGATCTCGTAGATGTTGAAGCATGGGTTGGAATGGAATACTTCGTTGTTGACGAGGTCAAACACATCACATTCGTCGGATAAGCTGCTGCCTAAAAAGGGCGGCTGGACTCCAGATGGCGGGAAAGTGAGGTACTTGTGGATGAAGTCCTCGTATCCGCAGGATTTGTGCCTCCTGTCGAGCTCCGCCGTGAAGGATTCATTGAAGCTGAAGAGGTTTGCATTTTCGTGGACAAAGGGCACAACGGGCACTTGTTCCTGCACAGTGTCGAACTGTCCAATGGTCGGGTCATATGCCAGCGCACCTTGGGTAGATGGTCAGAGTTTTCATTTCCAGCCTTGTAAGAATTCACAACAACTCACCATGTAGATCGTAATACTCCTTGTCTTTTTCGTCGAGCATCGCGGCTGAGATGTAGGGCACATAACGTCCAGCATAGCTCTCACCAGTGACATAAATCTTAAAGTTCTTGATTCCAAAGATCTTCTGGAAGTTCTTGAAGAACTTGACAAAGTCCTGGGCTGTCTCCTCTTGTGAAATGGCAGTTGGTGTGCCGACGGAGTAGCCCGTTCCGACAGGCTGGTCGACCCTGCGACATGTTAATAAGTGTTGGGGTTCGTTTGCATCAGAAGTACTCACCACAGCACGTTGGTCAGGTTAACCCAAGCATAAGGGTTCTCCACCGGGGCAAAAGTACCAGGTTGCCAGATGAAGCGACCGGCCTCTTGTAAGAAACTCTCCATCGAACTGCATCCAGGGCCACCGTTGAGCCAGATGGTTACTTCATCTACAGGCTCGTTGATGGTAGGCTGGAAGATGAAAAAGAGCGATCTGGAGCTATTGTCCATGTCAATCGGCACCGAACCAGAATACATCTCGCCGATATCAAATGGAACCTCCGGCAGGGAGTCGACCAGGTAAGCTATGGGTCTATTAGGACTTTTGTTGCTGACAAGGATGTAACTCGACACTCACGCTTTGTCGTCTTGCTTAAGAAGCGGTAATCCTTGTCCGATTTTTGAGGTGTGTTGTTTCGAGCCTCAACTACCTGTTTGGCCTTCTCCTGTGGTGCACGGGCTCTCGCTGCAAAGCGTCCATGTTTGGCAGCAGTTGCAAGATCTGATCCCAGCGACAGGGCTAGGAGAGCAGATGTCAGGACTGATTTGAGCAACATCCTGGATCTAGTATGCGTGGGCCAGGAGGGAGATGAGAGTATGTCTACATAATATTCCTGAGGAGGGGACGCAGCTATATACTACCCTCGAAAAGGCCTACCGCTAGTCCCTCATCGTGTACTTCGTACTCCATAGGTCCATTTAAATTGACAAGTAGGCAGGGTGATTCCAATCTGATGATTGGAAGAAATCCTTAGCTGCGGGCCGGAAGATTGCTTCTTCTACGCAACCTGGGCACAAACTTGGAACATCTTGCTCGATAGCAGGTCTCCACCGATGTCGGTTTCCTTGGCCATCTCGAGATCAAGCCCAGAAAAGAAACAACGTCTGTGAAAAGTGTTGCTACTTCTTCTTTTCCCTAATCTAATAGTACTCGGATGGTTATATCCGCGGTATTGAATGTTTATGTGGGCGATAGTTTCACAAAATGTCGCTGCAAGGATTCGGCCACTTTATGCACGGCTATTATTGGGACCGGATGAGCGACGGATTCCGGAGAGATCGACGATAATCTGACACTTTAGGATAACAAAATCCGTGCTTGAAAAGCGGAGACAATTCGCAATTCGTCATTGGCCTGGCACGCCTCTTATCCCGGTTAAGGGTCGTGTGAGGATAATTGTCCTGCAACGGTTGCAACGGTGTGATGGGTAAAAAATCCTCTTGATAGATCAACCGTTATATTTTGCATTTACTCGGCCTGGTTAGAATCGTGCGTAATTCACCTGACTACATCCATCAGTAGCTGATGCGAAATGTCAGCCTGACATTGCCAAATGATAATAAGCATGCCAAGCTTTTCAGCTGGCTTCTTGGAAATATGTCTCTCCAACAGAGACCCCCTTTTAGCTGAGCATCAGTCGACGTGATTAATCCACTCCGTGGTATACTCAATTTTCCCCTATGAATACAAAAAAAAACAGTCAATTTGGTTTTGGTTGATGATCTATTTTTTGGACGTGGTCTTAAAAAGGGACCAGGTGGAAAAAAAACATGGACTCGCGGGGAATCGAACCCCGGACCACTCCCATGCTAAGGGAGTATTATACCACTAAACCACAAGCCCAATTTGATGGAAGAATTCCCTCATTTATGTATTGTAAGCCTATGACTTTTGCTAGTAACTATTTGCTCAACACCAAAATTTATAGGCAAATCGAAGGTTTCCAATTCATTTAGGATGTAGACATTTTCATGCTTTCTAGGTTCCTAGCTTTGGAAGGTTATAAGTAATTGATGTGAACTCAATAGCCGATAAGCCTTGGTCAAAAATAAAGACATAACATGATCGCTGAAATATATATATCTGCCAATCGGCTTTTTAAGGGGCTCTATCTAGTTAGCTTGAGCTTTGGGTGTTGTCCGTGCGTCAATCCAATCACCTGTTTCTCTGGTTTGGTCTGTACAACTAGCGAACTCCTTATTGCTTAACTACAAGTTGATCCACGTCCACAGACGACTAGTTGATGCTCTGCCCGGAAATAGGTAAGATTAGCTGGTGCTGCCAGTAGTCAATAACCCCACGGGTTTCAACATTTCAGAAGTTCAGAGGTTGGCCACTATGCTGAACTGCTGTCATCGCCACAGCCGAGAAACACGGTGAGTTATACCCACTGAAACAACTGGAAAAAAATGGGGCATGTACTCTTCGTCATTCTATATGGTTGTTTACCAATGAAAATTGGCGGTGATGTACATCCAACATGACATGCCGTGCAATTGAAAAAAACCAAGATTATCTAGCTATAAGATTCCATATCTAGTCGGTAGTTATAGAGCCGTAGATATGCAGAAGCACGATATATAGAGTACACCCTACGTTGTACTAGGCAGTCTCAAAGGTGTTCGGGTTGACACAACAGATCCACTTCCCTCCCTACCCAATGATCACGCGGCCCGAAAATTTCACGCCTTTATTTTGACACTGGAGCACCAATGGGAAGGATTTAGTGGAGAATTTTTAGGTCTGGGAACTTTTGCGTATGACTCTTTTGGAGGGTTCGATTGCTCATGTTGGACTCCCCTCCTTTAAACTTCTCAGATCCCACCTCGGATTCATAATTCCAAGAACTCCAGGAAATCCTTCCTTGACAGAAGTGGAGAATATAATAGCTGCTCTGTCACATAGAATGTCCACCAATGTCGGATCTGACACCAGCAAGACCGACAGGCATGCATTTGATATCGTGAACACCGCCCAGAGCATCACAACTGCCCTTGACGAGAAGACTGCCACCCACATGGACAATGAGAAATTTGACACGGAGGCTGCACCGGAGCAAGAACCCGGCCCGGAGGATGTATACCGGACAGCGTCTACCGTGGCACCGTCTCAAAGGTCAGCCCAAAGAGACCCCGTTAGTCGAGTGACTACCGATGCTGAAGGGAACACCTACCCGGAGGGAGGCCTCGAAGCATGGTTGGTAGTGCTGGGCAGCTTCTTCGGTCTCTTTGGTTCGCTGGGCCTGGTCAACACCATTGGCACCTTCCAAGCGTATCTCCAAACCCACCAGCTGAAGGAATACGCCTCAGGAGCCAATGGTTGGATTTTTGGAATGTTTGCCTTTCTCACTTTCTTCTGTGGAGTGCAAATCGGCCCCATCTTTGATGCTCGAGGCCCCCGCCTTCTCGTCTTTGCGGGTTCAGTATTTGAAATGGCCATGATCATCCTCCTCGGCTTTTGCACTAAATACTGGCACTTTATGCTGGTCATTGGTGTACTGGGTGGGGTAGGAGCTTCTCTCATATTCACACCGGCGATCTCGGCGGTTGGACATTATTTCTATGAGAAACGCGGAGTCGCAACTGGAATTGCTGCTACGGGTGGCTCTGTTGGGGGCATCGTTTTCCCTCTCATCTTAGAAGACCTCTTCCCCAAGATTGGCTGGGCCTGGGCCACTCGGGTTGTCGCGTTGATCTGCCTAACTGTGCTATCAATCGCAAATCTCTTAATCAGGTCTCGACTTCCACAGAAGCCCTTTTCCAAGGAGAACGTGCTTCCTGACTTCCGCATATTCCGTGACCCGCGGTTCGCACTTACTACCGCGAGCGTCTTTTTTATTGAGTGGGGTCTTTTCGTGCCAATTAGCTACATCTCATCCTACGCCCTCGACCACGGTTTCTCCACCACGTTCTCGTACCAGATCATTGCTATCTTGAATGCCGGATCATTCTTTGGACGATGGTTGCCCGGCTTCTTTGCCGATTACCTTGGCCGCTTCAACGCCTTGATAGCGACAGTAGCGTTCTGCGTGCTCTGTAACGCCTGCCTGTGGCTTCCTGCCGGAGATAACCTGCCTCTGCTAATCGTTTACGCTGCTCTGTTTGGGTTCTCAAGCGGTAGCAATATCAGCCTGACGCCAGTCTGCGTCGGCCAGCTCTGCAAAACCGAGAACTATGGCCGGTATTACGCAACTGCCTATACCATAGTGAGCTTCGGGTGAGTGTCTTTTCTCCCCCCCCTGTGATGTCACCCACGTATCCCTAACTGACACAATTTTGCCACCAGCACTCTCACCGGAATCCCCATTGCAGGCGAGATCCTGGCACGCTGCAATGGATCCTACTGGGGCCTTATTACCTTTACTATCTGTTGCTATGCGGCTGGTCTGGCATGCTGTACTTCGGTAAAGGTCATTCAAGTTGGCTGGCGTCACCCTCTCGCGATATATTAAATTTCTGGACTCGGTATCTGGGGACTGTGACGCTGGCAAGTTGGTAATCTCGACACGATTTTAACGATGAATTAAGACAGAAATGTCTTTTTTTTCCCATCGACTTGCATTAATTTTTATCCATAGCTACTAATGTCTACATTCATCAATGTGTAATTACAGTTGAAGACTCAATCGGAGAACGTTTCCGACATCAACCGTACAAGTAGATTTCTCTAATGAACAGGGTTAGAAAAAAAAAAAAACTCTTTGCCGCCATTGAGGCATAAGAAACATAAATGCTGGTAGCTCAGGTTCAGGTTCCCGACAGGGCTGAACAGGGCAGAACACATCGCATAAGATATCCGACAGGCACCGGATCTATGTAACCATCCAGTCACCATGATACCTCTGTACCTTATCCAGCCATGGATCTCACCACTGGGAATGATTTCCAATTGGTGCAGACTCAGCTCTCACCATGGAAACTACCAGGACATCGAAAGTTTACCCCCAAAAAAACAAACATCGACATCACCCCTGGCCAATCCTGTCGCCGTGATGACATCGAATGTTCATCCATCCATCACTAATGACCTCTCACTACATATACGACTTAAGCTCGCATCCCCTCCCTAACCTTCTTTTCAACCCGGGACTTTGCTTTCCTTTCAATCTTCTTCAACTCATCTGGTGAGCAATTTCTTCGTTGCTAATCTTGCTCCTGCTATCCAAGGATTCTTGAAGGTAGAATTGGATTCTATCATCAATTCGATCAATACCCAGAACTGCCGGCAAACTTGCATTGGCCTCAGTTCTCCCTATACCGGCCACGTTTGCGTTGTCGCCCTGCATAAACTTGCGCTGGACCAAATCATGTTTCCAAAAAGATGCTTGGTTCTGCTGGCCTGCTCGACTCTCCTGCAGAGTGTCATGGCTGTCCCAGATATGCCGCAAGAGCAGCCCGGCCTTGAAGATCGTCGTCGAGAAGAGCGTGACTTTGGCTTGCAGGGGCGTCACAATCATCCTGGACTTGAGAGCTCGCTGCTTTCTGTATTGACCGAGGAGTTAGCTACGACACATGGCCCAAAGCCTGAGACCACTGCAGTTCCCGGCGGAGGAGACGGCACTACAGTCCCTGGTGTCCCTGGTGGTGGTGGTGGAGGAGGAGGAGGAGGAGGTGGCGGCGGTACTAC